ACCACCGCCATCACGCACGTACGCACCTGGCCCACCACCAAACCACCAAGACGCCACACCACGTCACACCACAGCACACGCGCACACACGCACACACACATACACACCACCACCACAACAACCACAACCACGCACACACGCACGCACGCACGCGCACCACCACCCACTACGCACACGCGCGCGGAGCCACAGGTCCGCTACGACACGCGTCCGCGAATAGAGAAAATCAGCGCCATGGTAAGGGATGGGAGGGAGGGGCAGGATGTCAGATGTTGACGCGAGCGCACCTAACTTGTCCTCCTCCCCCTCCCCCTCCTCCCCCCCCCGTCCTCCCCCTCCCCCTCCTCCGAAGACCCCTCTGCCGCGTGGCTCCCGGGGGCGCCCGCGGCTCCCTCGGCCCACGGGTGCCTCGACCCGAGGCGGCTCTCGACCCGCGGAGGGTGCGCACGCGGGGCGTTCCTGTCAAACACGGCCACGGTTTAGCTTTGCATCCTATTTGGCATAGTGCTCTGGCAGGGATGGTGGCAGGGGCGCCTTCGAGGGCGTCCTCGTGAAGCACGACCAATGGTTTGCCTTACATCCTATTCAGTACAGTGTTCTGGCAGGGATGGTGGCAGGGGCGCCCTCGAGGGCGCGAAGTGTTTCGCGTTTCGCGCTTCGCGGTTCGGCTCCGCTTCCTCCTCCTCCTCTTCTCCCCTGGGAGGCGGCGCGAGAGCGCGAAGTTATTCGCACTTCGCGCTTCGCGCAGCGCGAAGCGCGAAGTTGGGTGCCCTTGTGGAGGGGGCGTGCGTATTACGGAGAGGAGCAGTGACCAAGTTGATGGGTGATCGTTTTCGTATATTCGTCGTTTTGCCGATCGGCGCGGGCCCTCGCCCCCCCCCCCTCCCCCCCATGGTGTAGATCTGGGCCGTTCTTGGCGCCTATTTCGGGCAGGTGGGGTCTCACCCATAGGACGCACCGTTGCAAACAGTGGCATTAAGCAGAGGTCTGGATCCAGACCCCCCCTCCCCGCCCTCGCCGCCCAATGTCGAAACGCCGAAGTGAGAAAGCGCTTACCGGCGGGAACGCCGCTAACTTGTCTCACTCACGTCCGCCTTCCCTCGCGCTGCAGAGGCAGCACACGCGTCTCAGCACAGGCAGGGACCGCCATCGACAACACTCAGGAACCAATGCAGACGCCAGCCAGGGGCGCGATGCCCGCGAGGTCTGAAGCCAACGTCGGAGGTTGATAGACCTCCTACCCTGACACGTCGATTAGCGAATAGGCGGTGTTCGGTTCGCGAGAGGGTGTCGCGGCCGTCGTTTTTGCATGTCCAGGTCCGTCGGTTTCGGTCTTAGGCCGTTTTTGCTAAAGGGTGGTTTACTACAGGGAGGTTGGTCCACCGCCGACAATGCAAAGTGACGGTGGGGTTGCCAGGGCTGTGTATTCCTGCGTGCGCACCCGTAATCGTTTGGCATTCTTTCCTGACGTGGTTGGCGGGCCTGAGCGCGCAGCGGGAAGTATCATGTGGCCTCGCCGCCGCCCCGATCAACAAACACATGCAGACGGCTCGCGGGCGCCCGACCGCGATGTGTTATGTCCCGCGAACCGCGCGGTGTCTTGTCTGTTGGCCGGGATGGTGTGGGGGGGCATCGTTCCTGGCCGATGGCCACCCGAGCAGGGGAGGGAGAAGGGTGTTTATGAACAAGGTGAAGGGGTAACCCCCACCCCGTGGGATTCCTGACCATGCCCTGCCTGCATCCCTGCCATCTTGCCTCGCTCTGTCATTCTCCCCACTTCTCTCCATCCCGCGCATCCGTCAGCTCCTGTGCGTGGTGCAGAGGCCGAGAAGAAGGCGTGGAACGTCATCGATCTCAAGGAAGCAGGAGAGTATGCGCGAGGGAGTCACAGGGGATGATTCTGGCTGGCACGTGAACATGTCTTGGCCAGTTGCTATGCGTCCTCTGGCGGAGGGAGAAGCAAGGCAGCGCTTCAGAATGACACCTCCGAGCGACGTCGACGCCTCTTGCCAGTCTTGGGGGACTCTGTCGGCCTGCGCATGGTCTGACGCCCTTGCTGCCGAGGCGCTGCCCTGCGTCAAGAGCCTTGCGCCCAGGGTTGCCTTAATGATGGCCACGGTGCCAGACTACAGCGCCGAGGGGCATTCTCTTCCAGCCCCCGCCGAAACTTTCGGATCGTGAGGGGCGGGAGGGGCACGAAACCATGTAAATAGTACGGGTGTCCAATACCCTCCTCGCTCAGGCGGGGCCTCCCTGGAGGGGTGGGAACGGCACGAAACCATGTAAATAGTATGCGTTTCCGATACCCTCCTCGCTCAGGCGGGGCCTCCCTGGAGAGGTGGGAAGGGCACGAAACCATGTAAATAGTACGGGTTTCCGAGACCCCATCGCTCAGGCGGGGCCTCCCTGGAAGGGTGGGAGGGGCACGCAAGCATGTAAATAGTATGGATTTCCGAAACCCGCATCGCTCAGGCGGGGCCCCCCTGGAGGGGTGGAAGGGGCACGGAGCCATGAAAATAATACAAGTTTCCGATACCCTCCTCGCTCAGGCGGGGCCTCCCTGGAGGGGAGGGAGGGGCACGAAACCATGTACATCGCATGGGTTTCCGATAGCCTCCTCGCTGAGGCGGGGCCCCCCTGGAGGGGTGGAAAGGGCACGAAAACATATAAATAGTATGGGTTTCCAATATCCTCCTCGCTCAGGCGGGGCCTCCCTGGAGGGGTGAGAACGGCACGAAACCATGTAAATAATACAAGTTTCCGACACCGTCCTCGCTCAGGCGGGGCCTCCCTGGAGAGGTGGGAAGGGCACGAAACCATGTAAATAGTATGGGTGTCCGATACCCTCCTCGCTCAGACGGGGCCTCCCTGGAAGGGTGAGAGGACACGAAAGCATGTAAATAGTATGGGTTTCCGACACCTTTCTCGCTCAGGCGGGCCCTCCCTGGAGGGTTGGAAGGGGAACGGAACCATGTAAATAATACAAGTTTCCGATACCCTCCTCGTCCAGGCGGGGCCTCCCTGGAGGGGTGGGAAGGGCACGAAACCATGTAAACAGTATGGATTTCCGAAACCCGCATCGCTCAGGCGGGGCCTCCCTGAAGGGGTGGGAAGGGCACGAAACCATGTAAATAGTACGGGTGTCCGATACCCTCCTCGCTCAGGCGAGGCCTCCCTGGAAGGGAGGGAGGGGCGCGAAACCATGTAAATAGTATGAGTTTCCGATGCCCTCCTCGCTCAGACGGGGCCTCACTGGAGGGGTGGGAGGGGCACGAAACCATGTAACTAGTATGGGTTGCCAGCACCCTCTTCGCTCAGGCGGGGCCTCCCTGGAGGGGTGGAAGGGGCACGAAACCATGCAAATAGTATCGGTTTCCGATACCCTCCTCGCTGAGGCGAGGCCTCCCTTGAAAGGAGGGAAGGGCACGAAACCATACAAATCGTACGGGGTTCCGATACCCTCCTCGCTCAGGCGGGGCCTCCCTGGAGAGGTGGGAAGGGCACGAAACCATGTAAATAGTATGGTTGTCCGATGCCCTCCTCGCCCTGGCGGGGCCTCTCTGGAGAGGCGGGAAGGGCACGAAACCTGTTTCTCCGATTCCTTCCGTCCGTCACTGTTCCCGCCATCTTTACCTCTCACCCTTGCCTTCTCCTTCCCAAGCCTCCCTGTCCAGTGCCCTGATCGTTGCTGCCTGGCCGTTTCCACTCCCAGTCCAAGAATAGGATTTATTGTCCTGCGCCACGCCTTCCGCCAGCCTCCTCCTTGCCCTCCCTCCGAGCTTGTCCACAGCTTTCGGAAGAGCCCGCGGAGGGCTCTTCCGACAGTCTCCCCCTGTTCCCACTGAGGACCCGCCCCATCTTGCCCTCCGTTTTGACTGGGTTCTCGAGCGCTCGCAGGCGGGTGCTCGCTCAAGAGGACCTCCGCGGACCCTGAGAGCGCTCAGCGCCGACTGCCAAGGGCGACGCGTGTCTTCCGCAGAGGACCTCCGCGGACCCTCACCGAGCGCGCGGCACCGAACTCCAAGGGGGCGACGCGTGCCTCCCCCGGCCGCCACACGCAGAGGCACCCACCGCCACTTCCCGAGGGACTCGCGCCCTCCAGTGTGTCCCTCTGCTCTATCTCTCTCTCTCTCTCTTCCCCCCCCCGCCGCCCCCTCCTCCCCCCCCTGAGAGCCGACGCTGCGAAGACCTCTTGCAGCCTCGCGAACGATCACGCCCGGAGCCCCGGGGGCCCCATCTCTCTCGCTGCAGGGGCGCCATCGAGGGCGCGGAGGTATTCGCGCTTCGCGCTTCGGCGCCGACTCTTCCTCGTCCTCCTCTTCTCCCCTGGGAGGCGGCGCGAGAGCGCGAAGTTGTTCACACTTCGCGCTTCGCGCAGCGCGAAGCGCGAAGTTGGGAGCCCTTGGATCACGCCCGGAGCCCCGGGGGCCCCATCTCTCTGCGCCGCTCGTCCGCGCCGCGTCGACCCGTGAGGGCCCCCGGGGCCCGGAAGCCTGGCGGAGAGTCTCGGCGACGGGGAGGGGTCGAGCATCGAGCGCTGGAGGGTCGATCGAGGGATGGAGCCATCCGGCGATCGAGCCATGGAGGGACTGCAGCGAGGAGGGGGTCGAGAATCGAGCGGTGGGGCGATCGGGCGATCGAGGGTCGAGCGATCGAGGCCCGAGGCGATCGCGCGGTCGTAAATCGAGGGGCCCGAGGAGCCGAGGAGGCGAGGGCGTCGAGGCGCCGAGGAGCGGAGAGGGCCGAGAGGGTCGCGGGTCGAGGGCCGAGGTTTTCCAGCGCGCTCTGCCTCGCTGTGTGAGCCTCCGCGCTCCCGCCGCCCTCCTCCTTCTCCTCCCCCCCCCTCCCCCCCCTCCTCCTCTCCTCCTCCTCCTCCCTCCCTCCTTCCTCCTCCTCCTCCTCCTCCTCCTCCTCCTCCTCCTCCTCCTCCTCCTCCTCCTCCTCCTCCTCCCCCTCCCCCCCAGGCATCGAGTTCCAGTCCCTGCTGGAGCTCGACGACAGCGCCGCCGCCGCCCGCCGCGGCGTGCTGACCGCCGTCGTCCTCGGGGGCCTGGCGCGCGCCTCGGCCGCTCGGGCGGGCCTGGGCCGAGTCCTAACCTCATCAAGCAAGTCAGGCCCCCCTCCCCCGCCCCCCTTCCCTCTCCGGCGAAAGTATAACGCACCCGGCACCCCAGACACGTTACCCTGGCACCTCGCACTTGTGTGTGAACGCAGACGAGTCTGCTCGCCGAAACAAACAAACCTAATGCTGATTCATACTATCATCATTATTATTGATATTATTATATGTTTCTTTGTCTTAGTCTTATTCTTATGATTCCTCTTATCGTTATTCACAGCTAAATAGAAACAAACTTCCTCCTGCTCCTCCTCTCCAAGACTCCCTTACGGCACGGCACCAACACGAACGACGACAGTAATACCAGCAATACGACTTGTACCTAGAACAACAAGGCCAGTAACAGCACCACCAACAACAGCATCAACATCAAACACACCAACAACACCGTCAACACCAACAACAACAACATGAAGTCCCACGCACGGGAGAGCCCAGCTTTGAAAAGGAACCGTCCGTGCCTACGATGGGGGGCGAATCATTTTGGCGGTGCGGGTGCTAAGATAACGCGCCGTGCGTGGCGGGGATAAGATCCTCGGATGCACAACTCCACGCGACGGCCGGGAAAGCAAAATGTTCAATAGGGATGGTGAGAAGAATCGTATAGGACAAGGGAGATGAAGACAATTAGAAAAAAGGAGGGAGGGAGGAAAGAAGCAGTGGAGCCCGTTTGTTTTCGGAGTTTTTATCATCATTCTTATATTTGCTCTTATTCGTATGTTTATTATCATTCTTTTTCTTAGTCTTTCTAGCATTATTTGCATTCTTATTATTATTAGTATTATTCGTGGTCTTATTGTACTTCTTGTCTTTTTGGACAAGCTGTCGTAATTCTTTTGTGCGGGTGCGGTGCTAAGATGATGCGCCGTGCGTGGCGGGGGCGATATCCTCGGATGCACTACCACCCCACACGACGGCCGGGAAACAACCATTATTCATCAAGGGCGGTAACACAAATCAGATAAGGCACTTATCATTTTCTGTACTTGTATTAGTTTTTCATTGTTATTATTGTTATTATTAGTCTTTTAATTTTCATTTATACTAGTATTCTTATTTGTATTCAGATTCTGAAGTATTCTTTTTATCATTAATTCTCGTATCCTGCCTCGCATTCTAATTATTACTTTCATTAGTATTATTACTCTTATCATTATTCTTATTATTAAGCTTGATATCATTATTGTCATTATTATTATTCTCATGTTTCCTTTTTTTTGTTTTGATTTGTCGTAGTTCACCCTTATTCTTACTCTTAATCCAACTCCAATTGGGATACCACCCGAGCCGGGGCACGGGAACTATTTAGTTGCGGTCCATTTGCGCGGTGTTAATCATATCGTTCGGCGAAAACCGCCCCCCAGAATTATTTAATTACGGTGCGGTGCTAATGATAACCCCGGGGGGGTCCTTAATGGCTTGATGAGGTTATGCAGTGGAAGCCCTTGCCAAGAAACACCCCGCTTGCCTCCAGGGTGCCCTGTGTTCCCTTCCTCTCTCCCTCTTTGCTGTGGAGAGCGTGGCGCTTCCACACCAACAATCCATGGACGTCCTGGGGTCTCAAGGTTGGGTTTCTTGTGGAAGGTTTCTCCTGGCCTCCACAGTGGAAGCCCCTGCCGAGAAGCACCCGCTTGCCTCAAGTCGGGCACGTACCTCTACAGGAGGGATGTTCAAACATAGGCAAACATTACCCTGGCGACGTACCCACCCCCTGCGCAATGCGGGTCAGAAGTAGCTGGGGATATTTGACGAGAAGGCGGCGACGTGACATGGACGCATATATTCCTGCGAGCAGCATTCAGAAGGCTCGCAGGCCCCCAATCAAGGGGAACACGATGGGTAACTAAGTGGACCCCTGAGTCACTACGGAAAACGCAAGGTCCAAAAGGAGACGGTGGGCAAGGGGCTTGAAACGTCGGGGGGCAGCAACAACATGACATGCCCCCCCAAGGACGTCGAGGCCCCGCTCAGGTCTGCGCAGTGCCTCATTCCGCTGCACCCACCAGCAGCCTTCAAAGTGGCAAGCCCACCAGCAGCCCTCGAACGCGGCGACAGTTTCGCAGACCGCAGCCCCCCCAAGACGGGGAGGTCCCGCTAAGGTCCGCGCGGTGCCTCACTCCGCTGGACCCACCAGCACCCCTCGAAAGTGGCGACAGTTTCGCAGATCGCAGCCCCCCAGGGACGGGGAGGTCCGCTCGGATTCGCGCGGCGCCTCGCTCCGCTGGACCCACCAGCAGCCATCGAAAGTGGCGACAGTTTAGCAGATCACAGCCCCCCAGGGACGGGGAGGTCACCCGCAGGTCTGCGCGGTGCCTCGCTCCGCTGGTCCCACCAGCAGCCTTCGAAAATGGCGACAAGTTTGCAGATCGCACCCCGCAGGGACGGGGAGGTCCCGCTCAGGTCCGCGCGGTGCCTCACTCCACTGGACCCACCAGCAGCCCTCGAAAGTGCCGACAGTTTCGCAAATCGCAGCCCCCCAGGGACGGGGAGGTCCCGCTCAGGTCCGCGCGGTCCCCCACTCCGCTGTGCCAGCCAGAAGCCCTCGACAGCGGGGAGAGTTTCGCAGATCGCAGCCCCCCCCAAGGGACGGCGAGGTCTTGCGGGAGACAGGATGCAAGACCGCGCGGTGCCTCATTCCGTTGGACCCACCAGCAGCCATCGAAAGTGGCGACAGTTTAGCAGATCACAGCCCCCCAGGGACGGGGAGGTCACCCGCAGGTCTGCGCGGTGCCGCACTCCGCTGGACCCACCAGCAGCCCTCGAACATGGCGACATTTTCGCAGATCGCAGCCCCCCAGGGACGGGGAGGCCCCCCGCGCTGTGCCTCATTCCGCTGGGCCCGCCACCAGTCTTCGAAAGTGGCGACAGTTTCGCAGATCGCAGCCCCCCAGGGACGGGGAGGTCCGCTCGGATTCGCGCGGTGCCCTACTCCGCTGGGCCAGCAGCCCTCGAAAGTGGCGACAGTTTAGCAGATCACAGCCCCCCGGGGACGGGGAGATTCCGCTCAGGTCCGCGCGGTGCTTCACTCCGCTGGTCCCACCAGCAGCCCTCGAAAGTGGCGACAGTTTCGCAGATCGCAGCCCCCCAGGGACGGGGAGGTCCCGCTCAGGTCCGCGCGGTGCGCCACTCCGCTGGACCCACCATCAGCCCTCGAAAGTGGCGGCAGTTTCATAGATCCCAGCCCCCCCCCAGGGACGGCGAGGTCTCGCGGGAGACAGGAGGCAGGAGGCGGGAGGCGGGAAGAGGAGGAGGAGGAGGAGGAATGCGCAACCGCGGTGCTCTATTCAAAACGAATGCCCAACCAAGGAGGGCTGGGAAATAGTCGGGGGACGATTTTTTGAAGATGTATATATCTAGAAAGAAATGAAAATAACATACACTGTTTCGTTTGTCGTCCAAAATCCGCCTGTAGGAGGACACGTCCGACATAATGCTTGCCTCCAGGGTGCCCCGGGTTTCTTGAGTTTCGATGGTCTTGTTGTGGAGAGCGTAACGTTCCCACACCAACAATCAGGGTTGATTCTTACAGGGGAGACCCATGCCAGGACACACCATGCTTGCCTCCAGGATGCCCTGGGCTTCTTGAATTTCGATGGTTTGACTGCGGAGAGCGTCACCTTCCCACACCAAAAGTCAGGGCTGATTCTTACCGTGGAATCCCATGCCAAGAAACACCCTGCTTGCCTCCAGGGTGCCCTGGTTTTCCTGGAGTTTCGATGGTTTTGCTGGGGAGAGCGTGACGTTCCTACACCAAAAGTCAGGGCTGATTCTTGCAGTGGGAGCCCATGCCAAGAAACACCCTGATAACCTCCAGGGTTCATTGGTTTTCTTGAGTTTTGATGGTCTTGGAGAGCGTGACGCTCCCACACCAAAAACCAGTGGGCCTCCTGGGGTCTCAGGGCTACCGTTTCTTGTGGGAGGTTTCTTGTGGGCTGGCCTCCACTGTATGACGCCTCGCGGAGCACGTCTGGAGGCCCGATCCTCGAGGGGCAGCTGGCTCTCTGTCTGACGTGTTGGTGTGGTCGGTTCGTGCATCCTTCGAAGAAGGACAAACATCGCCACATACAGAAAAACTTGTCTGGTGCTCGCGCGGATCTCTAGGATCTGCGCTGGGCTCTCCGGCGGCGCCTCCGGCGCCGCCCCTGGCGCGCTCCGCGCGCCAGGGAGAGGGGTCCAGGGCGGAATGACATTTTTCGGTGTGGGTTTGTTGTGCAGTTCAGTGCAATGACGGGCCGTGTACACCACATGACGTATCTGCATGCGATGCTATGCCCTGACGTTGCGTGTGGGGCCGGGAGGGACCTCTCCTGAACAACGGTCGCCGCAGCTCTTCGAGTTGCGTGGTGTCCTCACACGCCTACGGATTGGGGACACAGCTTGGTTCTACCCCCCCAGGGCGGATCCAAGAAATCCTCGGGGACCGCCATAAGTGTATGTTTATGCCCTGTTTGTGTTCCTCGAAGTCTGGCCTCTCTGTGAAGTCTATGCGTTCTGCATGTCTGGTACTCTTCCACCGGTCTATTTGGCCGTTCGTACCGCTTGGTCTGTCTTGCCGTCCTGCAGGGTCTTGCCAGATTGCGTGGTTTGTCTGCTCTGGTCAGTCTTGCTTGCTTTTTGCGTTGTCGGGTCTGGCCTGTCTGGCCGCCTGGTGTGGTATGTCTGGTCTGCCGGGACTGTCTGGACAAATCTTGTATTGCATGTTTTGGCCTTATGCGTCGAATCTTCTTGTTTCTTCCGATATGTCTGGTCTGATTCGTTCGTTTGGCCTGGTCTGTGTGCGGTTCTGTTGATCGGCCTGGCAGATTTGATTTGTCCTGTGTTTTGGTTTGGCTGGTTTGACTATTCCGTCTGGTCTGGTCTGGTCTGCGTGGACTCGTGGATTCGTGTGCTCTGTCTTGTCTGCCTGGTCTTTCTGGCGTGTTTCTTGCATCGTGGTTCGCGGCCCATTCCGCCACCGTGCGTTGAGGGCTTCCAGGAGGTCTTACGGGAGGACTCCAAGGGGCCTCTCGGGGGTTGGTCGGGGTTTCCTGGGGGCTCTTGGGGCCGTCTTGGGCGGGACTCCCCATTTCGACAACTTCGGGTCGTCGGGGGTCTGGGCGTTTGGGTATATCAGACGTCTGCAGCACCTCTTATTTCTCACGGCTGTGGTTACGACAGTACGAGCTTTGGGACACTTCGCTGCTTGCGTTACGCACGATGGTGGACCGATATCGGGCACATCGTGTACATTCACATTCACCCAATCTTCGAATCATGTGCACTGTGAGGCCATCTCAAACAGAGGAGGTGCAGCTGAGGTTGGTGGGCCTGGACTGCCAATTGCACCCAGTTTGGGTGAAGTGGACGTCGCAAACTCCTCCCAGACTGGGTGCAGTTGGCGTCCCGAGCGGTCGCACGCCAGCCCAATCAGTGCCGCGATGCGGGCCGCACTCCAGCGCCCGTGGGAGATCCCAGCGGGGTGCGGGTCTATGCAGACCCAAGCCAGACCTCGCCCTCCTACTTGCTGCCAGACTGGCGCTTGTCGCCACTACAGTGCCGTTTTTAGTACATGCTCCGCGTGCGGATCATGTATTAAACATGCAGGGATTTAGTGTTTAAAACAACGATGAGATCATGCATACATTTATTCATACAGTAACCATGTATTATAATCCTATAGTCTTAAGCATCCTATGTATTAAAACCTGCCCTGTACCGTACCGCGCGCCTCTGAGCGGTACAGCGGGGTGCGTCTTGTCGCGGATCCGAATGAGATCTCGCTCCCTGGGGTGGTGCCAGCCTTTTATTTGTCGCTGCGCGCTTGGAGGGTCCAGCGGAGCACGCCAAGCGCAGAAGTGGCACTAGTCTCTCTCCTACACCGTCATTGGGTGCAGCGGAGTCTTGTCCCACGCGGGCCCAACGGACACCTTCTCCCGTTGGGTGCTGCCAGACGTGCCACAGTTGTATGTCCCTGGGGGGTCAGCGGGGCATCCCCGTACTGGCTCCCGTCAGCCAGTGGCGTGCTTGTCGACGGCAAGGCCCGCGGTGCTGCTGTGCCCCCCCCCAGGACCGGTGGCCGACGGATGGCCAGACGATGGTCTTCGCTTTCGGCTGTACTGGGCTCCGTGCAGTGACGAAGGCACCAGCGATGAGCATCAGCCTTGTCGCGCTGTGGGCGCGTTGTCTGCCGAGGTGCTGATATTGCTGCTGAACCCCCCCGCGCTCGCGGTGAACCTGCTCGGAGGGGAGCGGGGGGTGCAGGGCGGGGCAGGGCTCTCGCCTGCGCACGCCGTCCAGGCGCTCTGTCGTCCTCTCCCCCCCTTCGCCTGGGCGTGGGAGGCGGCGGTATCATCGCGGGCGCCCTCGTCGACAACTTGGTGAACAGTGGGGCTTTCCAGTCGCTGGTTCGCTCCCCCTAGCCCGATCCGGCCTCTCCCTCCCATGGCGGGACCAGTGGATGGAACGGTTGTGAATCGCCCGGGTGAGTTCGGTCCCTGGGGCAGCAGGAATGGGCTCCCTGGGCTCCGACCCTGCCCGACAAGTTTCATGGCCTGGCTGGGGACACCCCGGTGTGATTTCGACGTGAGGGCGGGCGAAGGGGGGCCCGAGCGTCGCTCCCACCATGCGTGCAGCTGTTGGGCTTTTGGGGACCAGAGTGCGCGGCATCAACGCGAGATCCTCACTTTGAAAAGGATTCGCCATCCTCCCCCCCCCCCCAGCAGGCTGCTCGCCTCTGGAGTCGTATGCGCCCGGGACAGGCTTCCGCTCTGGAGCGTCCCCGCAGGCTTGGGCCTCAGTGCGCGCCCCCGCCAGAAGCTCGCAGTTCGCTGGCTGGCGACCCCCCTTTGGCTCTCGAGAGTGCTGCCGCTGCGCCGCGTCGGGGTGCCTGCAGTAGAGGCCTCCCAGATGGGGTCGGAATAGATGGGGTCAGAGGATCGCGACGCATCGCCGATGCATCGCCGATGCATCGTCGACGCCCACATCGAGCCGCCTCGGCGATGCATCGGCGATGCATCGGCGATGCGGCGCGATCCTCCGGCCCCATCTACTCGGACCCCACCCAGGGGGGCTAGACGCAGGGGGCCTCCCGCTTGGGGCACCGTCGCGACTCCAGAGCACGCTCAGTCGCTGGGCCTGGCCCCGCGATCGGCCTGGAGCCTGTGCGTGTCTCCCCTCCCGACGAGGCCCACGGATGCGAAGGTGGGTACAGACGATCGGGCGGGTGGTAACGGGGGGTGGCCTAAACGGGGGGTGAAGTAAACGGCTCCTTTAGCCAGTTGGTTTCCCAAAGGGGCCTAGAGGGCCCCTTTGGGGCCTTTTTCTTCGCCCCTCCGATTGGGTCACCCCCATTGCGGCCCGCTCGAGACCAACCGACTGCGCGAGTGTTGCCGAAATCCTCGGATTGGTTCGCCGGGCGTCGACCCCGTATGTGAAGACGCAATATTTGGGCAAACGCACCAGGCAGTGGCCTGCGGGTTGCGCGGATACTCGTGGCGGGTACGCGATATCAATTCCAGATCAGCTTCGTTACCTTATCCCCCATTCACGCAGCAGGACGCGTCACTGTGCGGGCCGCTCACCCGAGTCGAATGTCGTAGCCGCCGTCTCAGCAGCAGCTTTACGTTCCCTATTTAGGCGAACAGCGCACGGGATTAATCTTCTTCTACTTCTTCTTCTTCTTCTTATTATTATTATTCTTATTCTTATCCTTCTCTGCTTTCGATTCCGAGGTGACAATGCGGTCATGCGGCGAAAGAGTATGGCCACGTAATGTGTGGACGGACAATGCAGCTTTTCTCGCCAGGCGAGTCATTTGATTTTTGACGTACTTCGCTTAATCTTGCTGGGCGTCGCAACACATTATGTTTTCACTTCAGTGTAGCACATTTTCTGTCGTTTATGGCCCGACAACGCCGCGGTGTGGTAGCAGTGCGGGACAGGTGGGGGGGGGCGTGCGCATAGAGCTACTCGTGGGGATCTTCACAGCCCTGCAAGACTTCCGAGCTCCGCTGCCCCGTCGTGCATCGCCCTCGCCACTCCTCGATGGAGACAGCGCGCTTCTCGATCGTCCCTCTGGTGCTTCACGGCTCGCTGCCAGTGGGGGCGGGGGACGGGGGGGAGACGGATCCCGGGAGGGCGCTGCCAGCGCGCCGGGCGCAGGCCTTGGCCGCAGGGCGCGCCGATGGGGCTTGGCCCCTCGGCCGATCATTGGGAAGAGGGAGGGTGAGAGTGAGGAGGAGGAGGAGGAGGAGGAGGAGGAGGAGGAGGAGGAGGAGGAGGAGGAGGAGGAGGAGGAGGCGGAGGAGGAGCAGGAGCAGGAGGAGCAGGAGGAGCAGGAGGAGCAGGAGGAGGAGGAGCAGGAGGAGGAGGAGGAGGCGCGCCGAGGTTGCGGAGTCGATCGCCTCCAGCATCAATGCCGAGTACGGCAACAGGGCCCCGCGAGGGCACCATCTTGCATATATGCTAATGCTCGGTGTGATGTGCCCCTGCGCAGTGCGTGCGCTGCAGCGGCCTGTCCCGCAGTGCAGCGTGTGGTAACTCGGTGCAGGACATGTGTTGCGGTGTAGGACGCAGCAGCGCAGTGCCTTGTTCAGTTGGGTGCCGCATCGTGCATCATCATGTGCCCGAACCCTCCCTCTGCGGGGAGGGGAAGAGGAAGGAGAGGGAGGAGGGACAGACCGAGGAGGGTTGGTGGAGGAGCGGACGGTGAAACTGGAGGGACGGGGAGGGGAGGGAGGATGACCAAACACAGAGTGGGACCTTCGACCTGTGGCCAGCTTTCGCTCTTCCCCCTCTGCTCTTCCTCCGCGCCACCCCCTTCCCTGGCGAGCCCTCCCCTCGATTGCTTCTCCCCCCGCAGCACGCGCGAGTGCGCGCGCCGACGCCTTCGTGGAGCCTCCTGCCGATTTGGATGGCCGTCGCACTCCGAGCGTCGCCCCAGGCGGCGACGTGTCGAAGGGCCAGTCTGCGCACCAGAGCCCACCGCTGAGGGGGCCAGGTCAAGCTCCGAGCGCTCAGGAGGTCTGGATGGTGGACTTGGGGGTTGCTAAAGGTGCCCCTGGCCCAGGGTGCCCCCCCAGCTTTCCGCCCAAGTCTGGAGCCCCCGGGACCCTCTGGACCTCGCGATGGAGTGCTCTGGAGGCTGTGTGTGTGGGCCTCCCTGGGAGTCCTGGGGGCACCTTGGGCCAGGGGCGTTCCTGGCAGCACCCGATGGAGGAGGAGGAGGAGGAGGAGGAGGAGGAGGAGGAGGAAGAGGAGGAGGAGGAGGAGCAAAAGGAGCAGAAGGAGGGGGAGGAGGAGGAGGAGGAGGACGACGAGGACGAGGAGGAGGAGGAGGACGAGGAGGAGGAGGAAGGGGAGGAGGAGGGCGAGGGAGCAGGACGGCAGGCGAGGCGGGGGTCCCGCGGGGTGCCTGCGGTGTGCCGCTCGCGCGGCCCGGCGCGGGGGCCGGGCGGAGGTCGTCCAGCACGAGGCCGCGCGGTTCCTGGTCGGATACCTCATCGGTGGGGGGTGGGGGGTGGGGTTGCCTCTGTCTCTGTCTCTCTGTCTCTCTCTCTCTCTGTCTCTCTCTCTCTCTCGTGCCTGTTCTCCCTCTCTGTCTCCTGCTCTCCGCATCCCTGTCCCTCTCTCTCTCTCTCTCCCTTTCCCCGAGTCTCTCTCTCCCTCTCTCCCTCTCTCCCTCTCTCTCTCTCGTTCACTCTTCGGAGTGAACGCCGCTTCTGACATCTTCAGGCAGCGAACGACGCATGGCTGGAGCGCGCAGCGGAGCGTCAGCTGCACTACGCCGGCGGGCGAGAGTCAGTTTGTCCGCGTCCGAGTGGTGCCGAAGGCGGGTTGCGTCTTCCCCCCCCCCTCCTGTACATGGCGCAGGAGTTATGGCTCCCCCTCTGGAGATTTTTGGCTTGGAGTGGGATCAGGGTGTCCCTCGCGCATTCCACAACTTAGAATATTTCGGAGCTCGCAGAGGCTCCCTGGCGCTTAGGCGAACACTGCGACACATCCACACACCACACACCACACACCACACACACACATTACACACACTTTCACACACAGAACACACACACACGTACACAACCACACACGCGCGCCCGCACGCGCGCACGCACGCACCCACGCACGCACGCATGCACGCACACACACACACACACGCGCACACACGCACACACAGACACACACACACACACGCACGCACGCACGCACGCACGCACGCACACACGCACGCACGCACGCACGCACACACACACACACACGCACACGCACACGCACACGCACACGCACACGCACACGCACACGCACACGCACACGCACACGCACACGCACACGCACACAGGCAGCAGGCGCACGCGCACACACACACACATAAGCACTGACACACACACACACACGCACACACATACATTCGCACACGCACACGCCCACGCACACGCACACGAACACGCACACGCACACGCGCACGCTCACGCGCGCGCACGCGCACTCGCACGCGCACGCGCACGAGCACGCGCACACGCACGCGCACGCGCACGTGCACGCGCACACGTATACGCTCACGCACACGCACACGCACGCGCACACGCACACGCACGCGCACACGCACACGAACACGCACACGCACATGCACACGCACACGCACACGCACACACACACACACACGCATTCGCTCAGGCACACGCACACGCACACGCACACGCACTCGCACACGCGCACGCACTCGCACAGGCACACGCACGCGCACAAACACACGCGCACGCGCACGCACACGCGACACGCGACACGCAACCGTGCACGCACACACACACACACACACGCACACGCACACGCACACGCACACACGACACGCGACAGTCGACAGGCGACACGCGACACGCGACACGCGACACGCGACACGCGACACGACACACGACACGCGACGCGCGCACGCATGCGCGCGCACGCACGCACGCACACGCACACGCACCAACACACACCAACATACCAACACACTACACACAGACACACCACGCACGACACACCACGCACCGCACACCACACACCACACACCACACACCACACACCACACACCACACGCCACACACCACACACCACGCACCATACACACGACACGCCACCCACCACACACCACTAACCACACACTACATACCACAGCACACAAGACACACCACACACCACACACCATACACCACACACCACGCACCACACACCACGCACCCCTCCTCACACCCCACACCCCACACCACACACCACACACCACACCACACACCACACACAACACACCATGTAATTACAACGCACCACGCACCACATTCCACGCACCACGCACCACGCACCACACACCACACACCACACACCACCAACCGCACACTACATACCACACAGCACACACCACACACAAAGCACCACACACCACACACCACACACCACACACCACGCACCACACCACACACCAAACACCCCACACCACACGCCACACACCACACACACACCACAAACAACACGCCCCACACACCACACCACGCAATTACCACACACCACACCACACACCAAACACCACACCCTGGACTCCACAGACCACACACTAAACACCACACACCACGCATCATACACCACACAACACACACCACACCACACACCACACACCACACACCACACACCACACACCACGCACCACGCTCTACACACCACACGCCACACCACACCACACACCACACACCACACACCACGCACCGCACACCACGCACCACACTACACGCATCATACACCACACACACACCGCACACCACACGCCACACACCACACAGCACACATTACACACCACAACCGACACACCACCCACCACACACCACACACCACACACCACGCACCACGCACCACGCACCACACCACAGACCACAGACCACACACCACACACCACACACCACACACCATGCACCACGCACCACACACCACACACACACACACACCGCACATCACAGACCACACACCACTACACACCACACACCACGCACCACACACCACACACCACGTACCACACCGCACACCACACACCACACACTACACACCACGCACCACACACCACACACCACACACCGCACACCACACACCACACCACACACCACACACCACGCACCACGCATCACACCACACACCACACACCACACCACACACCACACACCACACACCACACACCACACACCACGCACCACACCACACACCACGCACCATACACCCCACACCACATACCACATGAAGGCCGCGAGCCTGTGCGCGCGCGGCGCCTCCGCGCCCCCGCGCGGCCAGCGGCGGGGAGCGAGGGGGGCTTTCTGCGGCGCTGGCCTGTGACGGCGGCGCCGGCTGCGACGAGGGCGAGCCCGAGGGTGACGCTCCGGTGGTGGCCGAAGCGGTGGTGGCTGCACCGCGAGGCGACGGCCCTGCTGAGCGCCACGGTGGCGATGAGGACGCGCTGCTGGCCGAGGCAATGGCGCGGGCGGCAGCAGAGCGGCAGCGGATGGCAGCCGACCAGTCCGAGGAGAAGCAAGGCTCGGAGGGCGCCGCCGAGCTCGTGCAAGGCGGCGCGGTGGTTGCTGAAGGCGCCCGAGGGCGCGATGGAGGGGGACGACGTCGAGGCGAAGTCCGAAGGCGGCATGGGCGAGCCTGCGGTGGACTGCGAGAAGGCGGTCGACGCGTCCGCCGTGGCGGACTGCGAGGGGGAGGTCGACGAGTCCGTGGTGGTTAAGGGCCACCTGGGCGACGACGGAGGCGGCATCGGGACGCAGGCAGACGGCGCTGGGTGCCGTCTCCGCCCGAGGCGCCGCCTGGTGGTGCAGGCGGGGCCGCCGAGTACATGGTGGTCGTCGAGCCGAAGAGGACCGATGACGATGGGGCGCCGAGTAGAAGGAAGACTCGGGCCCAAAGGCGGCTGTCCAGGCCGCGGGGACGGCGGAGCCCTACGAGGGGGAGTGCGCGGGCGCCCCCAGGCCGCAACTGACGCCCGAGCAGGCACTAGTGAGCTGGCGCCGTCTGTTTGCCTCTGCGCGTCTCGTTGGCGGTCGCGTGTGTTATTATCAACTTAATATTCCGAGCGCTGCGCGCCCTGGCATTCGAAGCAGTGTTGAGTGAAGGTTAGCCCTCTTTGGGTTGATTGGATGGGCTCCCGCGGGGGCCCTTGTACCGTGCGCCCCCTCGCATTGAGGAGAGGTGCGTGGCCACTGCGAAACAAACAGTCACACCATATGTAGCACCACGTAGGCTGCATTTCGCAGGCTGCACCACTTACCTTGCTCTACATAGCTCGCACAACGTGGACTGCACCACATAAGGTGCACAACGTGGATTGCGCCGCGTACGTTGCACCGTTTGGGCTGCGCCACGTAGATCGCACCACATATTGTGCGCAACATATGTTGCATCACGTCTATGATTCAACATCTATTACACAATGCAGGCTGCACGTCGCAGGCGGCACCACATACGTCGCACCTCGTCGAATGCGCAACTTCGATCGCACAGCATACGTTGTTAAAAGCACATTGTCTGGCTGGGTCCATTTATATATATATATACACACATATATATATATATACATAGATTTGTATATGTATATATATATATACATATATATATATATATATATATATATATTTTTATATATATATATATATCCCGGGGGACCCGGCCCCCTGGCCGAGCCCAAGGACCTCGGGGGCGCATGGGGGTGCAGGGCCCCCAGGGCCGCTCGGAAGGGTTCCCGGACGGCTCCAGAAACCGCCAGGGCGGGCTCCAGCCCAGCCAAGACAGCCCGCGAGCGCTCCAACACGCGCCAGCATGGCTTCCAGACGAGCCCAGCGGCCACCAACACGCCCCAAGCGGCCTCCAAGACGCCTCCCAAGAGAGCCCCAAGAGGCAAACAACTTTTTTTTCCGATTGGTTATTTTCAATGTTTTTTGTCTTCTCGCTTTTCCAGCTTTCCGACGCTCCAAGACGGCCCAAGAGGCCCCCAAGAGAGCCCCAGGACAGCCCAAGAGGCCCCTAAGCTGGCCCCAGGACGGCCCAAGAAGCCCCCAAAGGCGTCCCGAGACGGCCCAAAAGGCCCCCAGGACGGCCCAGGAGCCGCCCAAGACAGCTCCAGGAGGGCCCCGCCATGGCCTGAAGACTGCCTAAGCGAGCCGAGCGGTCCTCCAACACGCGCCAGCATGGCCTCCAGACGAGGCCAGAAGCCACCAACACGCCCCAAGCGGCCTCCAAGAGGCCTCCCAAGGAGCCCCAAGAGGCCACAAACGTTGATTTCTCATTGGTTGTTTCGATGCTTTTTGCCTTCTCGCTTTTTCTGTTTTCCGACGCTCCCAGACGGCCCAAGAGGCACCCAAGACAGCCCCAGGACGGCCCAAGAGGTCCCTAAGCCGGCCCCAAGACAGCCCAAGAGGCCCCCAAAGGCGTCCCAAGATGGCCCAAGTGAGCCCCAAGACAACCCAGGAGCCGCTCAAGACAGCCCCAGGAGGGCCCCGACATGGCCTGACGACTGCCTAAAAGGCCAGCGAGCCTCCAACACGCGCCAGCATGGCCTCCAGACGAGCCCACAGGCCACCAACACGCCCCAAGCGGCCTCCAAGAGGCCTCCCAAGAGAACCCCAAGAGGCCACAAACGCTGATTTGTCACTGGTTCTTTCGATGCTTTTCGCGTTCTTGTTTTTTGGCTTTCCGACGCTCCAAGACGGCCCAAGAGGCCCCCAAGAGAGCCCCAGGACGGCTCAAGAAACCCTTAAGCCGGGCCCAAGACGGCCCCAAGACGCCCCCAAAGGCGTCCCAAGACGGCCCAAGAGCGCCCCAGGACGGCGCAGGAGTCGCCCAAGACGGCCCCAGGAGGGCCCCGACATGGCCTCAAGATTGCCTAAGCGAGCCCAGCGGACCCCAAGAGGGCCCCACGAAACCGCAAGAAGCCCCCCGAGGCCACCCAAGCGGGCTACTGGGCTATTGGGCAAGGGGGCTCGCGCGCGTGCTGCCGCAACACGCCGGCGCGCCCGTGACCCCACCGCCAGGCACGGCGCGCCGCTGCAACACGCCGCCGCGTCGAGCCAAAAACGCCTTATCACTCCTTAGAGTGCTTCTGCCGCACTTGCTCTTCCTCTTATTTCCCCTCCTCCCGCGGATCCTGACGCCACCCTGCCGTGACACGAAGCACCGCGAATCCCTTCCCGGACACACTCTTAGCCGGCGGGGCAGAGCGCCAAGATTGCCCAAGAAGCTCCCGACATCGCCCCAAGAGAGCCCAAGAGCCCCCAAGAGGCCCACAAAACGGCTTTAGAGGGCCCCCAAACGGCCCATGAGAGGCCAAGTAAAGCTTTAAAAGCTTCAGGACGGCCCCAGTAGGGGCCCCAAACGGGCCCAAGAGGCGCCCGAGACTGCCTAAAAAACATCAAGACTGCCCCAAGAGGGGCCCGAGGCGGGGAACACGAACCGACAATTCGAGCCTTCCGCCCGACATGGCCCCCGGGAGAGCCCCAGAAGCCCCCAAGAGGCTCCAAGAACCCCACAAGAGGCCCCCAAGAGGCCCACAGATGCCCCACGAGGCGCCAACACCTCTTTCGGAGGCTTCAAAACCTGTTGAAATACCGTCTCCGGAGCCGGCTGGAACCTAAGCGCGCGCGAAGCGCGCGCGTGGTTCTAGTATATATATATATATGTATACAAGGCTGCATTGGCGCTTCGCGCCATGCACCTTGTTCCTTGAAGCTTTGGAATGGTTGGCCCGTGGTGCCATCCTTCTTTCCATTTTAGCCGCGGTCTGCTGGTTCGTACTTCGGAGAAGCGCAGGAAGAGCAGAAAGGGGGGCAATCAACCTGGGACGGGCCAGACAAAACTGGGAGTTGGAGGCCGCGGGCGCATGGAATGGCGCATATGAGTGGGGGCCGCGCGGGGAACAGCTGGAATCCCGGGTTCGCAACCGAATTTCCGGAAGATTTTTGGAGCTTCGCCGGAGGCTCGTATTTTCAGTTCGTGGGCCCCCCTGGGGCTCCTTTTTGGGCCGTGTTGGAGCGTTCGTGGGCCATCTCGGGCGCGTCTTGGACCGTCTTGGGGCGCTCTCAGCGCGCTCTGGGAGCTTCTTGGGCCGTCTTGGAGCGGTTTTTGGAGCTTCTTGGGCGGTCCGGGAGCGTCGGAAACCCGAAAAAGCGAGGACGCTGAAAACATTGAAAAACCAATGAAAATTCAATGATTTTGTTCTCTCGGGCCCCCTTTGAGAACGGTCTTGGGGCTCTCGCGGAGGGTCTTCAAGGCTACCCGGGTGCTATCCTGGACTGTCTTGGGTGTCTCTGTGGGCCTGCGCCGACCGATTTGGCACTGCCGCCCGCCTGCATGCACGCCTTGGAAAGGATTTTCGGCCGCCCCCGTGGCACGGATCCGGGGGGTCCCGTGTCGGGGGGGGGGGGGTCCGCACCCCTGGAATTATAAAAATATAAAATAGGGAAGCCTCCCGAGGCCCTTTGGAGCTCTCTTGGGGCTTCCTTGGGCTGTTTCGCCGCGGGAGGCTCGTATTTTCAGATCGTGGTCCCCCCGAGGGCTTCTCTTTGGGCCGTCTTGGAACGTTCGTGGGCCATCTCGGACGCGTCTTGGGCCGTCTTGGGGCTTTCTCAGAGCGCTCTGAGAGCCTATTGGGCCGTTGTGGGGCGGTTTTGGGAGCTTCTTGGGCGGTCTTGGAGCGTCGGACATCCGAAAAAGCGAGGACGCTGAAAACATTGAAAAACCAATGGAAAAGTAACCATTTGGGGTGTTTTGGAGCCTCACCAGAACTACTTAGGGGGCTTCCCGAGGCCCTGTGGAGCTCTCTTGGGGCCTCCTTGGGCCTTCTCGGGGCGGGAGGCTCGTATTTTCAGTTCGTGGTCCCCCCTGGGGCTCCTTTTTGGGCCGTGTTGGAGCGTTCGTGGGCCATCTCGGACGCGTCTTGGACCGTCTTGGGGCGCTCTCAGCGCGCTCTGGGAGCTTCTTGGGCCGTCTTGGAGCGGTTTTTGGAGCTTCTTGGGCGGTCCGGGAGCGTCGGAAACCCGAAAAAGCGAGGACGCTGAAAACATTGAAAAACCAATGGGAATTCAATGATTTGTTCTCTCGGGCCCCCTTTGAGAACGGTCTTGGGGCTCTCGCGGAGGGTCTTCAAGGCTACCCGGGTGCTATCCTGGACTGTTTTGGGTGTCTCTGTGGGCTTGCGCCGACCGATTTGGCACTGCCGCCCGCCTGCATGCACGCCTCGGCCGCCCCCGTGGCACGGATCCGGGGGGTCCCGTTTCGGGGGGGGGGGTCCGCACCCCCGGAATTATAAGAATATAGAAAAAGGGAAAGTGTGCCATCGTTTCGTCGTTTTTTATTGCCATCCCTCTCTCTCTTTCTCTCTCTCTCTCTCTCTTTTTGTTCTCTCTCTCTCTCTCTCTTTCTTTTTCCCTGTCACCGTGGCCCGCGCGGGCAAACCACATAAGACGACCAATCCTTAGCACACTAGTCGTCGTCGTTGTGTTTTCGCGGCCGCCGACGTACAAGCGAGCCGACCAGCCAGCGCACGAGGCGGCGACGGGCGGCGACCAGGCGACATCATGGAACACGCGGCCGGCGCGGCGCGGATATCACGGATACCACGAGGCGGCAACGATGAAATCAGGCGCGCCCCCTTACAGGAGGAGCATTCAAAAATAGTCAAAAACTAGTGTGGGGGTGGTTGTTTTGAAGTATATTCGAGCATCCATCCTTGGTGCATGTTTTGTTTTTTTTTCGTTTCTCCTCCAAATTCCGCCTGTAAGGGGACATGCCCGACTGAAGGCAACGTGGCGGCGATGAGGCGGCAACGGGCGACGTCTTGGCGAGCACCCTGAAAACTCAGCCAGCACACGAGGCTGCGAAGGCGCGGCGATGAGTCGGCGGCGGCGGCGACCGTACGAAGGCTTGAGGCCCCGGCCAGCGCACCAGGTGATGACGCGGCGGTGACGGGCGGTGACGTGGCGAACATCCGGAGATCCGTGTCAGTCGTTCATGTGATCGTTCGTATTGACCAAACGAAGACGACAATGAACAGCGAGACGGAGACACATCTAATAAGAGAGGAGGAGAGAAATAGAGAGAGAGGGCTCTATATACATACATATACATACATATGTGTGTAGAGAGAGAGAGAGAGAGTGAACGAAAGGAAGAACGAAAGAGAGAGAGAGAGAGAAAACAAACAGAGAGAGAGAGAGATATAGAGAGAGAAAGAGAGATAGAGAGAGAGAAAGAGAGATAGAGAGAGAGAGAGAGAAAGAGCGAGAGAGAGCAGTATGGACAATATATACAGAGATAGACGGAGAAAGAGAGAGGGAGAGAGAGAGAGAGAGGGAGAGAGAAAGAGAGAGCAAGGGCGAGAGAGAGAGAGCGAACCATTGCTAATGATACGTATGACGAGAGAGAACATACACAGAGAGAGAGAGAGAGAGACAGAGACATATATCGAGACACAGAGAGAGAGAGAGAGAGAGAGAGAGAGAGAGAGAGAGAGAGAGAAAATAGATACATCTATATATATCCAGATATGGGGAACATGTAGTATAACACAGAGCAGGAGAAAGAGAGAAAGAGAGAGAGAGAAAGACCACAAGTCATACTGAGAGAGAGAGAGAGAGAGAAAACAAAAAAAGAGAGGCAGAGAGAGTCATTCATACATATATATTTAAATATGTTTACGTACGCACGAATATAGTGAAACAGACGGGGAGAGGGAAATAGGATCACATAGGTGCATATACATGTTCATGAACATGTGTTCTTTTATTCGTGCAAATTTTGAGAACGAGGCATATAGTTATGAGAGAGAGAGAGAGAGAGCGAGAGTGAGAGAACGAGAGAGAGAGAGAGAGACATAGAGAAATAGAGAGAGCGAGAGAGATACTTATTCAGAGATCGTGCCCATCACGCAGATACCAGAAGCACCTGGCGGTGTAGTATTCTTATGGACTGCCCCGTGCCTTCCCGATGCTGTGCCATCATAGCTTATGTGTCGCTCTTCCTTCACCCCATCTTGCGCACAGAGGGTTGGGCCAGGTGTGTTGCCCAAGGCTTACTCGCTCAGCACGACGGAAGCGCTGGACAATTATGAGAGCACGCGGATCAAGCCTGGATGCGCCTTCTGCGCGGCAGGGGCCTCGGTGTAGATGATCTTTTTGGGTAAGGAGCATTTCCATGCTGCGGCAACACAACGGATGAGGATACAGGGGATGAGGAGGGAGAATATGAGATGGAAGAGGAGGGTTGGGAGGTCGATAGTGCGAAGGTTAACGGTGGACAGATCACAAGCGCGCGGCAATTATAGCATCGATCCTTCTTGTGTCGCTTTGTTATGAAACGCCGCCTTTTTGGAATTCAAGGGCGGCCAAGTATCCTTTTCTTCTTTGTCTCTCTCTCTCTCTATCTCCCCATCTATGAATTCACATCAATGTTTATACGGGTACTGCACATCCACCTACATATTCATGCAGTGCTGCATCTATCTTGGCATCGCTCGGACGTGTGCATTTTTTCGGCGGGGACCATCGAGGAGCACCTGGTAGCATTTGCGAAAGAGTACACACGACATCGAAACATGCATGGCGAATGGATGTCCGAGCGATGGTGAGACTTGTGGACATTCTATATATATATATATATATATACACATTGGCTGTCGGTCCACCCCGCGACCGTAGCTGGGTCGTAGGCCAGAGGCTCCTTGGATGCTAGTTGGGATCTCTTGGGGGGCCTCTCGGAAGCCTGTTGGAGGCGGTTCTTGGGGTCTCTTGGGGCCTCTTCGGGGCCTGCTGGGGCCTGCTTTGGGTCTCTTGGAAGCCTCCTGGGGCTTTTTGGGGGCCTCTCGGTTGCGTGCTGGAGGCCTCGGAGGTCATCTTGGCGGATGGCGCGAAATGTCAGTTTGTTGTCTCCCTCTGTGTGCTGTGGGCCGCCTTCTGTGAGTGGCGGAGGCGGAGGTGAAATGCCCCTCCCTTCCAAGAGCTGTGGACCGAACACCTCCGGGCTGGCACCAGGCTGCCCAAGACGAGTTGAAGCGAGGGATGTGACATAGGAGGGCAGCCGCGGGTGGAGGGAGAGCTGGAGGTGATGGGCCCGTTTTCCACCACCGCCACCACAAGTCGGAGGGGAGAAGAAGGTGGAGAAGGAGGGGGAGGAGATGGAGGGGGGGAGGTGGAGGAGGAGGAGGAGGGGGAGGAGGAGGAGGAGGATGAGGAGGAGGAGGACCCCTCCGGCTCCAACTGATAGAGGTGGTGGTGGAAAACGGCCCCTTCACGGGGGGGAGGGACCGCGGCATCCAGCGCGCATGATCGCAGCTCTGCGTGCGCGGCGCGCGGAGGCCGAGTTCGACCTCGAGCTGAAGGCTGGGAAGGCCAGCGGTGGCTTTACGTCGCCTCGCTCCCCATCTCGTCAGCCCTCCTCCTCTCTGCTTCTGCCCGCTCCCTCCCGCCCTCCCCTCCTGCCCTCCCCCTTGCCCCCTCTGCCCGCCTCTGCCCCCCCCCCCCTCGGCGCCGACGGCGCCCCTCCGCGGAGAGCTGCTCCTCGAGGCGACTGGCCTTCTGCCGCGCAGGGCGCCCGCGCACAGAGGCGCAGGCCGCCGCCGGCGTCACCCCAACATGCTCGTACTGTATGTGGTTCGTCCCCCCAGGGGCGACGCGCGCACCGAGAAATCCTACAGCAGATGCGTCGTGGCGGGCGTTTTCTGGCCACACCGCTCGGGAAACGACATACTACAAGATGGGTATACTACATGTTCGGGTCGGACGTGCGTCTCCAAGGAGGACATCTAGTATTAGTATGTCTCTGTGCGTCCCATGACATGGTCAGAGTCTGGGGGACCGAACAATGACATAAACATAAACAACTCGGAGGTCCGCGCGGATGTCTCGGATCGGCGCTGGATCCCCCTCCTTGGCGCGCGGAGCGCGCCAGGGGCGGCGACAGAGGCGCCGCCAGGGGGGGGCCAGCGCGGATCCGAGAGATCCGCGCAGACCTGCGAGTTGTTTTATGTTTATGTCATTGTGCGTTGCCCTAGATTGATGTAGGGCTTGTCCCCCTACAAAAGGAATATTCAATAATAGTAAAAAATATTATGGGGACGATTTTTCGACTATGTTTGAGTTTTTTGGTATTTTTGAATATTGGTTATTCTTCGTCCAAACCTCGCCTGTAGGGACGCCCGACCTCCAGGCTTGGCGTGTGGTGTGCCCAGCGCTGCGCTGATCCAATTTGCCCTACGCTCACGCAGCCGCCCTGCCTCGCGTTTCCTGCGGGTCCTCTCCTTTCTTGTGGTCCCACCCAACCACCCACCCACCCTCCTTCTTTCCCTCCCCTTGGTCTCTCCTAGTCTCCTAGCAGCGCCAGTCATGAGAAGGAAGGGTCGTCCCTATTGATGTTGTCCTCGGGAAGGGGATAGCGGACATGACCATGCGACTCATGCATGGGAGGCACGTGTGGAAGTGAGGGGCGGTGGTGATAAGCACGTTCCTATCTTGCGCTTCGCCTTGAGGCGGGCTCGAGCGTGTTTGCAGATGCAAGGTCTCGCATAGTCGCACTGGCTGGACCTCAGTAATTGACGAACTTTGATGCCATAGTGGAGGCCCATTACAAGAAACATCCTGCCTGCCTGCAGGGTCCCCTGGGTTTCTCTCGGGTTTCGATGGTTCTGCCATTGAGAGGCGTGACGATCCCACACCATAAGTCAGCGGACGTCCTGGGGTCTCAGGGTTGGGCTTCTTGTAGAAGGTCTCTTGCGGTCGGGCCCATACTGTACCCATGGTCACTCTTGCGTGTAGCCGACCCCCCCTCCTCCTTCTCCTCGTCCTCCTCCTCCTCCTCCTCCTCCTCTTCCCCCTCCTCCTCCTCCTCCTCCTCCTCCTTCTCCTCCTCCTCCTCCTCCTCCTCCTCCTCCTCCTCCTCCTCCTCTCCTGCAGGCGTCGGCACGCACGCCTCCTCCTCCTCCTCCTCCTCGTATGAAACCTCGCTGCGCGGGCGCTGTGGTGGACGTCTTCGGTGCACGCCTCTGCTGCCAGGCAGCGCCCCGCTCCCCTCTGCCTCGGGCCTTCCCCGTGCCCAAGCCTCCTCGGGAAGCGGCATCGGACCAGACGAGCATGTGCCCAGGTCTCAAGTCAGGCCTGTCCCTCTACAGGAGGAACGTTCAAGAATAGTCAGAAGATAGTCTGGGGACGATGATTGTTTGAGCATCTTTTTCTGTATTTTTGTATATTTTTTTATATGTCGTCCAAATCCACCTGTAGGGAGACGCCCGACCTAACCTTGGTCCCGTCAGATGAATCTCCACTCTGCCGCGCCTCCAGATTTCGCGGCAGATTTGCAGCTTGCCGTCGGTGCGAATGCTGCAGTGGGTCTACGCGATGCGCGACCATAGGTGCCGCACGCGTAAGCCGTTGCAGCAGTTGGCCGCCGCCTTTTGCCGGATCGATGCCTTCGCCCTGTCTCGCTCGGCGGCACGTGCGCGTACCAGCAACGCCAAGCATCTCCCTGCTCTGTCTGATGGGCTGGCCAGGCCGTAGCGTGCTTTGAGTCTCGAGCGCGGATTCGAGCTCACAGCGGTTGTCCCGATCGGTTTGGCGGAGCGTTTCGACAGCCGCGCTAGATTCGACAGGCAATGTTGCGACGGGGTTTATCGCCCGTTGTTTTGTCTCGCTATTTGGCAAGGGGATAATGCTGATCGGTGACAAGAAGCTTGTTTGCACCACTGCTTCGTGTTTCGCGCGCGAACTATTGTTCGCAGAGCCGTCCATGCTGACCGCGTTCGCTTTTGCGATGGAACTGGCCGAGCATGATGGGAATTCAATTCCGAGGATTGTGTTGCGAACCTTCCTTGGGGACCGGTGGACAAGCTACAGGCAGTTCTTCCCCAACCGATCAGACATACATGGCTTTGGAAGTCGTCACCTTTCTCCACCCAGATATCGACGAGCCTCTGCGCAGCGCGATTCGCGGACTTCCATTCGGCCTACATTCAGTAGTTAAGAATTTCAATCGCCTCGCACTGCTCCTCACAGCCGCTGCCAGACGCCTGCTAGACATACTGTGTGTCCGCCAGGCAGATGCCAATTTCGCTCTCGAAGTTGCTGCAACGCAGGTGACGTGCGCCGTTCCTTCCAAGCCTTGGCCGCCGTGCCAGGGAATCAGACGTCCGATGATTGCTGGGTGCCTCCCGCGTCCACGCTGGCGTTCCACGATCACTTGCGCGACCTGTCAAGAACCCTCGCGGGTTCTTCAATACTGTTCGAGTCCAAGGATTGCAAAAAACCGAAGTGGGTCAGCCTGGGTGACGTCGGCCGAGGGAGCAGCGCGTGGGGCAGCCAACGGCCCAAGGCGAGAATCCACATAACCAAAAAAGGCATGGCTGCGGATCGCTCGTGCCCAGGAGGTTTGGCCGTGGACTGCCCGGGGGGCGCTGTTCCCCCGCCCCGTCGCCTTCTCGCATGGTGCGCCCCTGGCACGCCACCGTGGTGATGACCTTGCTGTGCGAGAACGGGAAGCCCGTCCGGGTGACCTTGGAAGTGCGGAACGTGAGCGGCTCCGCCGTGCGAGGCTCGATGGACACCAGCGGGCCCGTCAGGTCCCCTGTGAGGGTGTCGTCGTGGCGTTTCAGGTCGTCCACGAAGGGCGCGCTCGCATACTTTTCCATGCGCACCCAGAACCCCAGCGGCGAGCGTTTCAGATAGATCCTCTTTTCCCGTCTCTCTCGGCCCTCTCGACGTCGCCACGATCCCGAGGGTCCGCGACGACGTGCACGATCTGCCCCACGGCATCCTTGACGAGGCCGCTTTTGACGCCCAGCGCCTCCAGGAACCAGATCCGCATGCCCACGTGCACCGGGAGCAGTCCGTGCATGCCACCGGTGTTCTTCGGGTTGGCACAGTTTATCATCTTGGCGGCGTCCTTCCTGCTCATCGTCGGGGCAGATCTGCCGGCGGCCTGCACGAGGAAGAGGAGCTTCTTCAGGACGTCCGCGTCCCGCAGGGCTCGCATATTCATCCAGCGCGCCACGGTGTCCCAGTAGGACCCAATCATGTGGCCGTTCTGCAACCTTTCCTCCCGGAGTCTACGATCATTGGGTTTTAGCTGCATGGCGTTACACGTGGCCCGGATGGCCGGCGGGGTCTGCTTCCCCGGCTTGCGCAGGAACGCCATGAGGTCGGGTCCGTGAAGCGGTTGGACGCCTGGAGCTCGAAGCACAGCGGCGTGTTGCAGAAGAGCTTCATCGCGGCCTGGTACTCTGAGGCGAGGTTGATGCCCGCCGCCGCCAGTTCCTCGAGGCTGGAGATAAGGGACACTTTGCCTCCCGTCGGCTTCAGCTGCAGGAAGTCTCCCATGTGGATCACGATGGGCATGCGGCCGAAGGCGCCGCCGACCTGGTCGTACTCCCGCTCCTCCGCGCCCCACTCGGACTTGCGCCCCAGGTAGGACCGGAATGCCAGCATGTTGTACAGGTTGGGCGTGATCGCGCTCACCTCTTCCAGGATCAAGCACCTGGCCGCCTCCCACATGTCCTGCAGCGCTTTCAGCTTGCCCCCCGCGGGTATGTCCTCGTTCCTGAAGGGCTGCACTCCTATGACCCCCGCCCGGTGGCAACTGACGGCCTTGTGAGCGCCTGTGGAGATGTTCGCGGCCTGGGACCACTTCGCGCAGACGATCAGCGTGGGCGAGTTAGCCTTGCCCGGTTTCACAGGGAACAGCGCGTCCATGGCCGGCAGCACGATCTCCTGCACCATGGCGGTCTTCCCGCTGCCGCCCTGGCCAAGGAGCAGGAACTTGAACGTCTTCCGCTTCTCGTGCTTCGCCATGCTGCCGTCCTCGATCTTCGGCTCCTCGTCCCGCACCACGTTGCAAGCGTTCGCGAACGCCGTGGCGAACAGGGCCTGGTCTAGCTTCAGAGGGCGGCGCTCCCGCTCCCCCGTCCTCGGGTTGACCGCGCCGTCTTCGAATTTTTTTGACAAGGCGCTGGACGAAGTCGCTTGACGAAGTCAGCTCCCTATTGGGCCACGAAACGCTGTCTTGGGCGGGGGAGACGCATGCGGACTGCGCCACTGGGGCCGTCGGTGGAACTCCCTATGGGGCCACGAAGCGCTGTTCTGGGCGGGGGAGACGCATGCGAACTGCGCCAATGGGGCCTTCGGCGGGGGCTCCCCATGGGGCCACGAAGCGCTGTTCTGGGCGGGGGAGACGCATGCGAACTGCGCCACTGGGGCCTTCGGTGGAGCTCCCTGTGGGGCCACGAAACGCTGTCCTGGGCGGGGGAGACGCATGCGAACTGCGCCCTTGGGCCTTCGGTGAGGATCCCTATGGGGCCACGAAGCGCTGTCCTGGGCGGGGGAGACGCGTACGAACTGCGCCACTGGGACTTCGGTGGCGTTCCCTATGGGGCCACGAAGCGCTGTCCTGGATGGGGGAGACGCATGCGATTTGTACCACTGGGACCTTAGGTGGAGCTCCCTACGCGGCCACGGAGCGGTGTCCTCGGCGGGGGAGACGCATGCGAACTGCGTCACTGGGACCCTCGGTGGGGCTCCCTATGGGGCCACGAAACATTATCCTGGGCGGGGGAGACGCATGCGAACTGCGCATCTGGGACCTTGGGTGGCGTTCCCTATGGGGCCACGAAGCGCTGTACTGGGTGGGGGGGACGCATGCGAACTGCGCCACGGGGACCTTCGGTGGAGCTCCTTATGGGGCCACGAAACGTGTAAAGGGTGTGCCGGAGTTGATGGCGATGATTGTGACGATGACGGAGGTGATGATGACGACGATGGTGAATGCGACGATGACGATGATGACGACGAAGATGATGCTGATGGTGATGGCGACGATGATGATGTTGTTGATGATGATGGTGGTGGTGATGATGATGGAAAAAGGGAGGGGGGAGGAGGAAGGCGAGGAGCGCGGGGCGCCGTCTCTTCAATACGAGGACCCAACACCACAGGATGGTTGCGTGACGATGACGAGGAGGAGGGAGGAGGGGCGGAGGAGAGGAGGAGGAGAGGACGCGGGGCGCTGTCTCTTCAATACGAGGACCCAACACCACAGGATGGTTGGGAAATTGTCAAAACATAGTCGGGGGATGTTTTTGTTGGAGTATTTTTTGACCATGCTTGAGCGTTTGTTTAGTTTTTTTTTGGTTGTCGTCCCAAATCCGCCTGTAGGGGGACATGCCCGACCTAAGTCTACAGTCAACTTCGTGACCTCTCACTACTGGTATCCTTCCGTCTATCCCGGTCACCACCAGGCCATCTCACACCACTCCTGGAGCAATCCTGTGGTCTTTGCTCTCCATCCCCTCCTCCTTGCTACTTCTTCTGACGTCGTCCACTCCTCTCCTTCCCGCCTCCGTCGACACCCTTTGACCTTGCTCTCCCCTCTCCCATTTTTGTTGTCTCTCTCTCTCTCTCAGGCCCCGCCACAGGAGGAACATCGAAAATTGTAAAAGCATAGTCGGGGGACGATGTTTAATCAAGGGTGCCCTCGAGGGCGTGAAGTTATTCGCGCTTCGCGGTTCGGCTTCGATTCCTCATCCTCCTCTTCTCCCCTGGGAGGCGGCGCGAGAGCGCGAAGTTATTCGCACTTCGCGCTTCGCGCAGCGCGAAGCGCGAAGTTGGGTGCCGTCGTTTAATCATTTTTGGACTGGTGTTGAACATGCTTTAATTCTGTGTCAGTTTTCTCCCCCAGATCCGCCTGCGGGAGGACGTGCGCGACCTAGCTCCAGAGGTCACCGCCGGCTGCGATCGGGCGGTCGCGGTGTACGACCCTTGCGCCCCCCGCGAGGTGACCAGCAAGACAATCGACCAGTTCCTGTGTATCAACCTCGCAGGGATTGTGCAGGAGTACACCATGTTCGGGAAGGACCCCCTCGCCAGACCTGATGGTAAGGAGGCGAGAGGAAAGGTGGAGGAAGGGGATAATGGAAGAAGCGCCCGGACGGAGGAAGAAGGGTAGGTCAGCAAGGAGGGCTACATCGAGGAGTGAGCACCAGGGTGGTGAGAGGTAGGCTTCTCAGGAGGAGGCCTTCTTACGCGTGCATCAGCTTTGCCAAGTCCCAGTGATAGTAATCAGCAGATAACCAACTCTTAATCAAAAGGCACGCTAGAGCAGAGCTTACTGCTTGGTAAATCCAGGTGGATGTCCAGCTACGACCGCCAGACTGACGCTGTCGTAATTTTCCACATGTACATCGAGACAACCATGCGAGCCATTTAACATGCTAGAAACAGGTGCCGCGCAAAGCCACCCAGTCTGCTTCATGCTGCGCAAGAGCAGTGCTGCAGGCATTTCAGATATGCGCGGCACATGTGACACACCAGCGCCACGTGCAATCTAACATTACGTCATGCCGACGCTATGCTGTAACGGCCCAGAAAATTGGCAGATGTGTAGAGGCTCTGTTTGGGAGATGCAGGCATCGATGTGTTGTCATGCATTCTCAGTTTGCAGAGGCCATGAGAGAATGCCCTGTTGTTTACGAACGCAGTGGTGCCCTGGAGAGCTCGTGGATATTCACTGTTGAATCAGTCAATGCCGAACCATACGCCCCAGACATATTGCTTTTACACCTGACCTCTGGCCAACGTGAGTAGCGAGCAGGGGATGTAACTTGCGGCTTTGCAGCGGTCTGAGGTTTCGTCCGAGCCTGCGATGCACGCAGTGCGTCTGTGCTCCCGCGCCTCCTGGCGATTGCAGGCGCAGAGCGGCGCGCCGAACCTGACATCGGTGGAGGACGCGGCGGGGAAGGGAGGGCAGCCGCACAAACAGGGCGGGCCAGGAAACGCACATTTCCTATCATTCGCTTCTACCTCAGCGTAAGTCTTTCCTTTGCCCCTTGGACAGGGTTGCGCCTGGCGACCGTGGCCCAGAGAGTCTGCTGTGTGCCCGTCTCTGTGCATGCCCGCGCGCTTGTGTACCTGCTATTGCGTGCCCGTGTGCCCGCGTGCTGGTTTCCGATTGTGCGGGTGCATGTCTTCTTGTGCGCATCCGTGTGACAGTCCGTCTGCATGCCCGTGTGTTCGCGTGCCTACTGCGGCGTGCCGATGAGCCCGCATGCCAGTGCGTGGCTGGCATCCGCGCGCACCAGCCTCAGCCCGTCCTGGTGTCCGCATGATCCTGTTTCCGCGTGCCTATGACTCGGGGAGTGGCTGTCCCTTGATTTCGCGACCCCGATTGCCACAATTCATTCCCGGATTGGCGAAGAAGCGTCCGCGAGTTGTCCCTGGAGTGCGCGCGTTTGTTACGGCCCGTGTGCTTGTGTATGCATGTGTGCGCAGTCCCTTCAGTTTGCATCAACCCGTGGCGTGCCCATGTGTCTGTAAGCCTGTGCGACCGCGTACCAGAGGGCCCGGCGTGCTTGTGTGTCCATGTTCCCGCGCGGCCGCGTATCGACATCGGCTTTCTCGCGTGTCCGTATGCCCAGCCCTACGATCATTTTCCCGCTGCTGCGGTTTTCAGGGCTGTGCGTCTGAGCTCAGACTCAAACGTGCTCATGCATCCTCCTGCCCGTGTGCCCGCAGAAAGAGTTACTCCAGTCTTATTTCCTATCGTTTGGTGCCGCACAAGTCCACCACTGCGTCCAGGGAACGCTGCGCGGCAGTATTGTATCGTGGCGTGGCCTGTACCGCTACACGCTGGTTGCGTTGTTTCTTTTTCGTCACGATCGGATCGTCGGGTCTCTCGGGGACTCTAGCGGGCGCATGGAGAAACCGAGAGTCTTTCGTCTGGGTGCCATGGGTGTCTTCGCTCCGCGCGCTGCGGGGTGATTTCCCACGGCCGTTCACGCAGCTGCCGTGTTCAGGGTGCTGTGGCTCCCCACTTGCATTTCGCGCTTGCGGATCTTCAGGGCGGGGCCTCTTGCGAGGGTTTCTTGCGGCGCCGTGTCCGCCCTGTGCTGCCGCCGAGGGGCGCTGTTTGCGCCTCGTGGAGGTGCTGTCGGCCCTTCGGAGGCCAGGAGCTCGGGGAGCGTGCTGTTGTGCGGACAAGTCGCGAACGTTCCCACTCGCAGTGGTGCAGCATCCGGCCGGGTGCCCGTGGCAGTTCCCGCGTCTCCCCGTGCCGGCGCAGCATTCTGCGTGCGCGGCGACGCGTCGAGGGCCGCCCGGGCGGCCATGACATGCCTCGACTCCAGGGGGCTTTTTCGCAGGTCTCGAGGTGGACACCAACACCAGTATTCGGCGTCGCCCCTAACATACTTATACTATGTGTGCGTCGCCCCGCCAGGGGCGACGCTCGCACCGAGAAATCTTGCAGTATATGCGTCGTGGCGGGCGCTTTCTGGCCACACCGCTCGGGAAACGATGTATTATAAGATGGGTATACTATATGTTCGGGTCGGGCGCACGCCTCCGAGGATGACACATAATTAGTACTAGTATGTCCCTGTGCGTCCCAAGTATCGACGATGTGCGTCCACCGAAGGAAGATGATCCCAATCTCCGTGATAGTGGTAATTCTAGGGCTTCTGGGCAGCCGAAGGATTACCACCAGAGCCAACATCTGGGATCGTTCTCCCCCGGGGGAGACGACCTCCTGCTTTGGTGCTGGTGCCCATTTCCGTGCCTCCAGCTTTTGAGCGTGACGCGCCGACGTTTTGCAGGCTCGAGGTTGCCACCAGGTGTGGTAGAGGTGTTCCGCGAGCCGTGGCGTGCGGCACTTCTCGCTCTTCTCCTTCTTTTTGCGAGGGCCGTGGCGTGCGATAGAGAGTTCCCCGGTGGGGAGACTGCCGCACCCATCGGTCGTTGAAAGTCGGTATTTTGGGAGTCCCGGATTCCAATCTACTTTAGGAGCGCTTTCCTACTTCAATTATCGAGTGGCTTCACCTTTTCCGTCCTCTTCAGGGGGTGGGCGGACTACCAATCTATTTTCAGCGCCATCCTATTTCATGTTACTACCTGCTTCTTCCGACCGACGCGTACTGACAGTTGATTCCCTCCATGGCCCAGGTGGCTCAAATTTGTGGCACAGCTTTGCTGTCAGCTAAAGTCGGCGTGTCATGAGCCTAGTGGGATGCTCTGGGCAGTTTGGGAGGGCCCTGTGCCGTCTGGCATGCGCCCCGGGGCCGCTTCTGGCAGGTCTTGGGCTGGCTTGGGGTCGTCCTGGGGCCTTCGTGGGCGTAGTGGTTCTTGACGCCCGATTTGTTCGGGTCCAGAACCCGTCCTGGAGCTATCTTGGGGAGGTCTTGATTGTGTTGCTTCCCCAACCAGGTCTTGCACCTACGGGCTTCAATTTGTCTTGCAAGTAAGTGGTCGGGTCCAGCGAGTTTTTCTCCGTTGCCGCCCAGCTGCCGCCTCGCTGCCGCCTCGTTGCCGCCCCGTTGCAGCCTCGTGCGCTGGGTGGGTCTCCAGCGACGTTTCGCCACGTCGCCGTCCGCTGCCGCCTCGCAGCCGCCTCGTGCGACGTGGCTGGACCTCAACGGTGCTCTGGCGATGCCGTGGGCCGTGTTCTCGCTCCGACGTCGCTCTGCGGCAGAGGCGAAGCGAAGACGAAGCGAGGGAGCACGAAGACAGAGCGCAAACGGAACACGCCGCTTGGGTTCAGCCCTGTCGTGCGATGGCCGGGACCGTCGAGGTCTCGCCGCGTCGCCGTCCGTGGGCGCCTCGCTGCCGCGCCCGCGGCCGCCTCGCTGCCGCCCCGTGGGCCTGTTGGGTCTGGCGGGGCTCCCTCGCGGCTGCCGCCCGTTGCCGCCCCGTGGCTGCCTCGCGTACTGGGTGGGCCCAGCGACTCCTCCTCCTCCTCCTCCTCCTCCTCCTCCTCCTCCTCCTCCCTCCTCCTCCTCCTCCCCTCTCCTCCTCCTCCTCCTCCTCCTCCTCCTCCTCCTCCTCCTCCTCCTCCTCCTCCTCCCTTCCGCCTCGTTGCCGCCTCAGGCGTGCACCGCGTGTCCTGCACCACGCAGCCCTCGCCACGTGGCTTGCACCACACAGCTGGCACAGCCACAGGGCAACCACCTGTTGTTTGCAGTCCGCGCTGGCCAAGCAGTGTTCCATTCAAGCGGGCGGGGACGCCCGTGATCGGTCCCGCGGCCACCCCGCCTCAGATCACTGGACGCTGGCCGCCGCGTGGCGCTCGAAGGTCCTTGGGAGTTTCGCATGCATGTCGTGATGCTCATAGGCATGTCGTGCCTGGCACTCGCAGGCTATGATTAGTTGCGCTCACAGGCTTGAGGTGCTCGCGAGCACGCCGTCGTGTTCACGGGCATTCGGCCCGACCCTCCTCCCCCGATCACGCGTGTTATCGTCTTTGAAATTATCGGTGCGAGGGACCGGATCACATGCTTTTGTGAGTAATGCAGTTGTGAGAGTCGTGTTCGGTGGAGCTCCCTATGGGGCTACGAAGCGTGTGAGGGGGTGTGCCGAAATGGGTCGTGCGGACGGATGTGGACCCTGACGCTGGGGCCTTCGGTAGAATTTTTTATTCATGGGCCACGAAGCGTGTGAGGGGTGTGCACCGACATGGGTTGTGCGGTCGCGTGTGGACCTTGCCGCTGGGCCATCGGTGAAGCTCCCTATGGAGTCGTGTATCGTGTGCGGGGTGTGCCGACATTGGTCGCGCGGACGCAGGTGGACCCTGCCACTGGGGCGGTCGGTGGAGGTCCCTGATGGTGCCACGAAACGTTTGAGGTGCATGTGTGTGTGTGTGCGTGTGTCCCGAAATGGGTCGTGCGGACGCATGTGGACCTCCCTATGAGTCAGCGTGTTGGGTGAGGGGCGTGCCGAAATGGGTTTGGGCGGACGCATGTGGACCCTGCCGCTGGGGCCTTCGGTGGAGCTCCCTATGGAGCCGCGATGCGGTGAGGTGTGTGCCGAGATGAGTCTCGCAGACCCATGTAAACCTTGCCTGGAGCCTTCGGTGGAGCTCCCTATGGGGCCAAGCAGCGTGAGGGGTGTGCCGACATGAGTCGTGCGGACGCATGTACATCTTGCCACTGGGGCCTTTGGTGTGAGGGGCGTGCCGAAATGCGTCGTGCGGACGCGTGTGGACGCAGCCACTTGGGCCTTCGGTGGAGTTCCCTGTGTGGACGCGAAGTGCATGAGCGGTGTGCCGAAATTGGTCGCGCGGGCGCATGTAAACCCTGCCATTGGGGCCTTCGGTGGAGCTCTCTGTGGGGCCCCGACACGGGTGAGTGGTGTGCCGAAACGAGTCGTGTGGAAGCATGTGGATCCTGCCACTGGGCCTTCGGTGGAGCTCCTTATGGGGCCACGAAACGTTTGAGGGGTGTGCGCCGACATGGGTAGTGCGGTTGCATGTGGAGCCCGCCGCTGGGGGCCTTCGGTGAAGCTCCCTATGGAGTTGCGTATCGTGTGAGGGGTGTGCCGACATTGGTCGCGCGGACGCATGTAAACCTTGGCACTTGGGCCTTCGGTGGAGCTCGTGTGAATGGTGTTCCGAAGAAGGTAGCGTGGACGCCTGTAAACTCTGCCACTGGGGCATTCGTTGGAGCTCCCTGATGGGGCCACGAAACGTGTGAGGGGTGTGCCGACATGGCTGACTTGTGCGGAGGGCAGGGGCAGGGATGGGAGCAGGCAGGAGACATGAGGAGGACGGAGGAGTGAGGACCGGGCACCAGAGGATTGTGGGGAACTGCAGAGAAGTCATTTGCCATTTTCACGGGTTCTGCCGTCCCCGTGCACTATGAGGTTCTCGAAAGTCTTCACTAAGATGAACTCACCGGAAGCAATACGCCATAAGCTTATGGGTTTCGCCGTGTTTCGCCGTCCGATTCCTCACGGGCGCGCCAGGGGAGGTCTCCTTTGGCGCCTCTTGGCAGCGTCGTGGCGCCTCTTGGCGACGTATTGGGGCCTTTGTGGGGGTCTTCGGTTAAGTCGGGCCTGTCCCTCTACAGGGGGAAAATTCAAAAGTAGTCAAACGTCAAACAAATAGTCGGGGGACTATTTTGGGAGTACTTTTTGTTGACCACTTTGGAATCTGTTTTGCGCATTTCTTAGGTTTCGTCGAAAGCCCCCCTGTATGGGGGACACGCCCGACTTAAGTCTTCGGGCTTTTGCAGTCTGGTATTTGGGGCGTCCAGTTTGGTCTCGAGGCCGTCGCAGGGAGCTCCCGCGGGGCCTCCTGGCCTGCGACCGGGGGGCGCACAGGGGAGAACCGGTGGAGGGTCTGCCAGGCGGCCAGCGGGCCTTCCGGCATCCCAGCACGGCCGACAGCAGCCCCTGGTCATTGCGATCCGGACTCGCTGTCGGTGTCGCCGCGGACGTCGTCCACTTGAGACAGAGGGCCGCCTGCCCAACAGCGGCCGCTGTCGGTTTTGGGCAACCTTTGTTGTAGGGCGTCGTGCCCATTTTGTTCGTGCCCGTTCTGGGCTTCTATTGTTTTTGCGTTGTATGTTGTGCGATCATAGGTTTTCGGTTCTCTTTGTATCATTTTGCTTGGAATCTAGATGGTCGTTTGTCGTCGAGGGCGATTCATAAGTACTGCGCTTCCCACCCGGTCCAGAGCTGGCTTCGCCCCATTCCTTGCTGTGCTCCCAAGGCAACGCGATTTTGATGTTCGCATCGGACAGATACCCACCATGAACATACCAACCATCACTACCCACCAAGCCACCCCAACCCATCCCGAAGGCTCCAAGTTGCCCTCCATTCCCAGTGGGGGGAGGCATCCGGGAACAATACAGAAACACAGATGGGGCCCCCCCAGCCCGAAGTTTGGGACCTCGGGCTGTGTTGAGGTAGTCAGGTATGTAGTCAGCCGGGGGCCAAGGACATAATCCCAATCTGTTCCAGGGTCGTGCGAGGTGAGGAGGAGGAGGAGGAGGAGGAGGAGGAGGAGGAGGAGGAGGAGGAGGAGGAGGGAAGAGGAAGAGGAAGAGGAAGAGGAAGAGGAAGGGGAAGAGTAGGAGGAGGAGGAGGATCAGGAGGATCAGGAGGAGGAGGAGGAGGAGGAGGAGGAGGAGTGCTGCCCAGCGGCAGGGGCGGCGCCAGCAGCCGGCGGTGGCGTTGGGCTGCCACACGCAGCCGTCGCCTTGGCTCTTTTCTCTCGAGCTGTGTTCAGCGTCTGTGGGGCAGCCTCCGCCGCCGCCGCTCGAGCCCTGGCACCTAAGGACACATACCACATGCAGGCTGTTTGCCTCCCGAGCGTCACAGCAGCAGCTCCGCTTTCCCTTTTGCTTCACCTGCCCAAGCGGGGGGACGTCTGCAGTCCCTGCGGTCACACCCTGCTGGATGGTGCCGGTGGTGGCGCGCCCGTGAGGCAGTACCGGCAGAGCATGCCTGCATGTGCCCATGATGGTTATCGCTACCTGTTCCTTCCACGCCCCTATCATGTCGCCTCCGCTTCCCTACCCCGCCGCACAGTCCCTGTCTCTCCTGCCTTCTTCGGAGCCCTCATGCGCTCTGCTTCGTGCTATCCGTCTCTTCTTTGACCAGCTCCTTCTGACAGCTGGTGCAGAGGACCTGCTGCGAGCGGTCGGCCTCAGCCCCCAGGCGCAGCAGGAGATCACCAGGATCTTCCTGGGATGAGCGTTGTGAAGGAGAGGTGAAGGTGATGGTAGAGGAAGGGCCAATCAGACGATATAACATGTTTTGAGAGGACACGATGGAGGTGAACGTGTCTTGTCGTGCGTGTAGCCAACCGCATCCGGCCACAATTCGGCGCGACGTAATTCTGCATTGCGTTGCGCCGGCCCACGTCACAGTGCTTCGAAATGCATTCATAAGTGCGTGCGTGCATGCGTATGGTCCGTGTATGAATTCATGCGTGTGCACACATGTGGAGCCCAACCATGGCCCCAATGGCACGTGCGCAGTGGGCCAGGACTCAGAGCGAAGGATGTTTTGCATTCTTCCCAAGTTCTAATCGCCTTTGTCCCCGATCCTTTTTTCCAACCCTCCTGTGTTGAGTTTAGTCCTGGTTTCCAAAGCAGCAGCACCCCGTGTCACTCTTCCTTTCTCCTGCCCCTCCCTCCTACTGCTCCTGCTGTTGATCTACACGTGTTCATTTCGGCGCACCCCTTGCCTGTTTCGGTCCCGTAGGGAGCTCCACCCAAGGCCCCAGTGTCAAAATTCGCATGCGTCACTCCACCCATCCTGGCACACCCCTTGCCTGCTTCGTGGCCCCCCCCAGAGCAGGGAGATCCACCCAAGGCCCCCGTGGCACAGTCCGCATCCGTCCCCCCGCCTATTTCGGCACACTCCTCGCACGCTTCGTGACCCATTAAGGAGCTCCCTCCTCCCTCGGCCCACCTGCCTTGCGGTACTTTTTCGCACTTGCATATGGCTGGTTCCTTCGCCAGTATGATTCCAGGACGCCTCTGCGGCGCTCATAGAGAGAGAGTGAGCAGAGAAGGCTGTGGATTATAGTAGGGCAGATCGTGCATCCCTGATACAAAGCATATATGTTCCCTTACGTGCCGCATGTGTTTTGAAGAAAGCATCTGGGTCTCCACCTCCTCCCGCCTCCCTCTTCCTCTCTTCTCCCCTATTCCTACTACTTCCTACCTGCGTCTTACCTCGCAATGCTTGAGGGGCTGCATAGTGCGAAACTGTCGCCACTCGAGGGCTGCCGGGGGGTTCAGCCCAGTGGGGCCTACGGGGATGCAGAATAGACCTTAGACCTCGCCATGCCTGGGGGGCTGCGAAGTCTGACACTGTCGCCATTTTCGAGTGCTGCTGGGGGGTTCAGCATCGGGGGATCCTACGCGGATCCAGATTTGACTTTGTCATGCATTGGGGGCTGTGACGTGTGAACTGCTGTCATTCTCGAGGGCTGCGTGGGGATCCAGCATAGTCGGTCATGCGGGAACCCATGTTTCAGGCGATCGCAAACATTGATCAAGGGGGCGTGGATTAGCGACGGGCCCCGTTTCCATGGGACAGCGCGGAGTTCCGCCGCCGAGCGAGGCGGCACCGGCCGCATTTTGAGGAGGGCACCTCCCCCGATACATGGACATGGCGACCGCGCGCCAAATCCATGGATCGCTAATCCATGTTTGCGCGCCCCCGAATGTCTGGGGGGCAGCAATGTGTGAATCTGCCGCCACTTTTGAAGACTGCCGGGGGGTTCCTGCGGGGATCCAGATAAGACCTCTCGCCATGTGCAGGGGGCTGCAACTTGTGACATTGTTGCCACTTTCGATCTCCTCCTCCTTCCTCCTCCTCCTCCTCCTCCTCTTCCGCCTCCAGGTCCTTCGGGGATCCAGATAAGACCTCGCCGTGCCTGGAGGGCTTCGAATTGTGAAACCTTCGCCGCTTTCGAGGACTGCTGGGGGGTCCAGCGTAGTGGGGTCCTGCGGGGATCCAGATGAGACCTCGCCATGCCCCTGGGGTGGCGGCGCAGTGTGACGCTGCCGTCGCTTTCGAGGGCCGCGGGGGGGCCCAGCGTAGGGGGTCCTTCGGGGATCCAGCATAAGACCTCGGCATGCCAAGGGGTGGCTGCGAAGTGTGGTGCCGTCGTCACTTCCGAGGGCTGCTGGGGGGTCCAGCAGAGGGACATCTTCACGCAGCTGCTGACTGGGCCTCGCCATCCCTGTTGGGCCGCCAGCTGTCCAACTGTCGCCGCTTTCAAGGGCTGCCGGGGGGTCAGCAGAGTGGCGTCTTACATCATGTTCGAACTAGACCTCGCCATCCCTGCGGGTCTGCGAAGTGCCCAACTGGCGTCACCTTCGAGGGCGCTATGCGAATGTTCGAATTAGACATTGCCATCCCTGCGGGGCCGCGAAGGTCGAGAACCTTCTGATGGTACGCGGCTCTGGGCTCGATTTCCTTTCCCACGGGCAGCCCGCAGACCTGGCGGCGCACCCGCGGGCATTTAGCTCGCACGCTGAAAGATGCAGGAAGGAAGCGGAGAGACTGCCAGACTAGCTCGGCCTCGCGCATTTCCCGCCGTAGTTTTGAACAGATCATCTTCGGGGTCACCAGAGTGGCATGGCGCGGGCTGCGCTGCTCATCAGCCAGCCACTTGCGAAGATTGCTACTCTCGTTTCTCCTCTCTCCTCCATGGTTGTTTTTCTCTTACTCCTTCCTACGTATCCTTGCGGCTGCCGCGATGACTTTTCGCCCCCCCCCCCCTCCCCTTCCCTGCCTCTCGTCCCCGCCTCCATTACTCTTCGAGCTTGAGGTCGCATTCTTCGCCCTTCCGCTGGTGCTCTGTGACTCGTGCCGCGCGCGCATCCCATGTAGCTTGCACCAGGAGTCATTGTCCCCGCGTGGCGGCTATCCCTAGCAATGTTGGGTCCATTCCCGCTCCCACTTGCTGCAGATGTGTTGGGTACGTCGCAGGGTAACCTTTCATCCTCCGGCGAGGACGGCCCTTATAGGTGGGTGGGGGGAGGGTTGCCCGGTAGCGTCACGATCTGCGCCCACGTTGTGTGGGGGTGGACGGGCCAGGCAGCCTTTGGGCTGGACGTGCAGCGGCTCTCCACGGGTGCGCGAAACCTCTGATCGGTGTGCCGACACGGTGATCGTTTTCTTATTCGTTGTTTTGCCGATCGGCGCGGGCCCTCGCACCCCCCCCCATGGAGAAGATCTTGGCTGTTTTCGGCGCCTGTTTCGAGCAGGTGGAGTCTCCCCCATAGGACACACCGTTGCAAACAGTCGCACTAAGCAGAGGTTCGGAGCCAGGCCCCCTCATCCCCCCCCTTCCGCCCACTGTCGAAACGCCGAATAAGAAAACGCTCACATGGGCGCGGGGCGGCATACGCCCACGCTCCTTGATGCCGTCCAATGGAGACCCATGCCAAGAAACACCCTGCTCGCCTCCAGGGTGCCCTAGGTTCTTGGGTTTCGATGGTTTTGCGATGGAAAGCGTGACCTTCCCACACCAAGAATCAATGGACGTCCTGGGGTCTCATGGATTGGGCTTCCTGTGGAAGCTTTCTTGTGGACCGGCCTCCACTGTAAGTAGGGTTCCCTGTGCGGGCACGAAGCGCGCGGGGCTTGCTGACGTGTAGGCGGGGCGGCGCCCACAGCCACTCAGGCCGTAGATTGACTTCCTTAAAGCGGGCACGCAGCCTTTGACTGTTGTGCGCCGGCAGGTGCGCGGGGCGACGAAGCCCGCCTCAGCGACTCTCGCTGGCCAACCTCGGTCGGAAAGCGTTAACGTGAGCCTCCAATGGGCCTTCGCATCCTCACTGCGCATCCTCATGATGCGGGTTGACTGTATACCCACATTCGTGGGGGCCGTATGCTGAGCTCCCCACGCGGGCACGGAGCGTGTGAGGGGTGTAATAACAAAGGCAGGAGGCGGGCGCAGGAGGCGGAGTCAGGAGGCGGATGCGGAGGTGGTGGTGAGGAGGAGGAGGTGGCCACAGCGCTGCGGATTTAAAGGGGGGGTAACCAACAACACATGCGGCTTGGAAGACAATTCGGAATGGGTGCATGGGCCTCCTGTATTTTCATGTGCTTATTGGTGTCCCGTGTAGCGCTGTAGGACGATTGGTCGGAAGAATGATGGTGGAGCAGTCTTTCGATAAGGGCAGAGCGGGAAGTGAGAGGGAACATCCGCGTTGCCAGCGACTGCAGCTCGACGTTTGCTGCTGCAGCAATGTTGCCATCCAGTGGCTCAGGTTGAAGCGGCCAGGAGTATAGCAGTTCTTCGCGACTTGCTCTCTGTGCTCGCCACGCGTACCGTACCGACCCCTTTCTCAAGCAGTGTTTTCGAGAGGAGGTAAGTGCTGTCTTGTTCACCACCGCCTGTAGAAGGCGCAGAAGGAAGACCGAGAGGACGTGGTTGGCAGGGCTTCCCGCGAGGGTGCGAGGTGGGCCGTGTACAACGTCGCGGGGCTCCTCAAACGCCACAAGGATCGAGGGTGACTGGCGCATACAGTGGATACCCATGCCAAGAAACACCCTGCTTGCCTCCAGGGTGCCCTTTGTTTCTTGTGTTTCGGTGGTTTTCCGGTAAAAGGCGTGATTCTCCCACGCCAGAAATCAGCGGACGTCCTGGGGTCTCAGAGATTGGGTTTCTTGTGGAAGGCTTCTTGTGGTCGAGCTCCTGCTGTATGAGAGGGTGGTCGATGGAGGGAATGCGATTCAAGGCGTCTCTGAAGGGGCCCTGGGACACACAAATAAATAGACACAAATAACAGGATCCCCCACATTTTCACATATTTTGTGGGTTTTTGTCTTCCCCCCCCACTTCCCATATTTTCCCATATTTTTCTGGGGAATCGACGATTAATTGTGTCAATGTGTTTTTTTTTCCCCTCCTGAGTCTCGTTGTGGCTGTCTTGCCCTGTGGGTTGCGCTGGACGGCGCTCTTGGTGGCTGGCCCTCCGTCTGCCAGGGGAAGGCGGCACGGGCAGAGAAGGGGCGAGGACAGCTGTCGGGTTGACCCGGAAGGGGTTCAGCGTCAGGTCGGGCCTGTCCCTCTACAGGGGGAATATTCAAAAATAGGAAAACAATAGTCTGGGAACGTTTTTTTTTTTTTTTTTTTGACAATTTGGGGGCATGTTTTGACTATTTTTTGTGCATCTCGCCCAAATCCCCCTGTAGGGGGACACGCCCGACTCCAGTCCAGCGACAAGGGGGTGGTGCAGTAGATTTGGTGCAGTAGATTCGTGGGGTTGCAATACACTTAGGGGCGTGCAATACATGTCGGGGCGCAGATGTGATGCCGTATTTTCGCGTGCAATACAGATGCATTGCAATGCAGTGCAGTGCAATTCTCCGGCGCAGTACATTTGTAATGCAAGTGCCTCAAATCGATTGCACCATCACCTTTCAGCTGGACGCCCTTTTGGGCCACCCAAAAGTTGTACCGAGCTTTGTGCTGGAGATTTGCTTATGTGTGTAACTGTGAATCAGATTTGACCTTACGTAGGAACTCGGTCATGTTGCACCAAATCAGACTTGTTTGCATTTGCCCAGGTCCTTTTTTTAGTACACGACGTCCAGTGGTGGTACTGACCCGTGGCTCGGTTCCTCAAGGGTGCCCCCTCCCCCCGGCGGAAGGGTGACATTTAAGACTCAGTGGCCTGAGTCTTTCCCGCCCATTTTGGATTTCGTTATTTTCCCGCATCTGGTGAATAGGGGCGGTGATGCGATGAGGATGAGAATGATAACAGGATGAGGAGCAGGAATGAAGAATACTGGGAACGGGCAGGGAATGCGCGCGTAATCGATTCAAGCATTGATGCCTGCATTTGCTTATCACTATGAAGCCATGCCCTCGCGAAAGGAAGTACTCACGCATCCTCACACATGGATTCGCTTAACAAAAATCATTACGTCCAAAGGCAATTTGTGAGGGTGTCCAACGAAGTCCCCTTCAACCGACCCAACCTATCTACAATGACTGAGCCGAACAGTTGGCCAAAGCTTCTACGCATGATCCATTTGTCGTGTGACCTACATGGGAGGCTCGCTGTGGGCTTCACAGGACACCAGCGGAGGGCCAGGGCGGGATGGACGGATGCAAACTCGGGCCTGGAGGCGAAACGGGCGGGAACGAGACGGAGACGGAGCAGCAGCGGGAGGAAGGGTACGGAAAGACGAAGCAGGACGAAGACAACGTAGGAGGAGGAGGAGGAGGAGGAGGAGGAGGAGGAGGAGGAGGAGGAGGAGGAGGAGGAGGAGGAGGGAGGAGGAGGAGGAGGAGGAGGAGGAGGAGGAGGCGGAGGAGGAGGAGGAGGAGGAGGAGGAGGAGGAGGAGAGAGGAGGAGGAGGAGGAGGAGGAGGAGGAGGAGGAGGAGGAGAGAGGAGGAGGAGGAGGAGGAGGAGGAGGAGGAGAGGAGGAGGAGGAGGAGGGAGGAGGAGAAGAGGAGGAGGAGGAGGAGGAGGAGAGGAGGAGGAGAGAGGAGGAGGAGGAGGAGGGAGGAGGAGAGGAGGAGGAGGAGGAGGAGGAGAGGAGGGAGGGAGGAGAGAGGAGGAGGAGGAGGAGGAGGGAGGAGGAGGAGGAGGAGGAGGAGGAGGAGGAGGAGGAGGAGGAGGAGAGAGGAGAGAGAGGATGGAGGAGGAGGAGGAGGAGAGGAGGAGAGGAGGAGAGGAGGAGGAGGGAGGAGGAGGAGGAGGAGGAGGAGGAGGAGGAGGAGAGAGAGAGAGAGGAGAGAGGAGAGAGAGGAGAGAGGAGGAGTGGGAGGGGGAGGGGGAGGGGGAGGAGGAGCGGAGGAGGAGGCGAGAGGATGAGGAGTAGGAGGATGAGGAGGAGGAGGAGGAGGAGAGGAGGAGGAGGAGGAGGAGGAGGAGGAGGAGTTCCGTTCCGTTCCTTCCCATTCGAGCTCATTTCGGGTTCACTACACCGCTGCTGCTCTGGGTCAGGACTGTTTAGCTTGAGATCTCCACATTGGGGGGCCCCACACTTCTGAAGAGGAAAACTCCCCAAAGCGGTGGATCGGTGTCCCGCCGAGGCGCGGGGACACCCCACACGGGGCGGGCCTTGGAAACTAGAGAAGTTGGACCGACAGGGAGGTGGCCTACAGCCTCGGGACGGAGGGACTCAAAGGCCACTCCCCCATCCTGGGCACGCAGGACCCCCCCAATCCCCCAACCGACACTATCTACTTCTCAATCTTGATCTGCCTAATTAGCTTGCCTCTCGGGGCTCGGCCTGGCTTATTGTTGAAGCCTACTGCCCTGAGAAGCTGATAAATCACCTGCTCGACTGTTGCTACCGTTCTTACTACCTTTAGCTCGAACTCTAGAGGCGACCTGATCACCCGTCCCGCCGCGACCGCCTTCTCGTCGGGCTCTGCGGCCTGGTCCTCGATGGTCCTCCAGAGAGTCTCCTGCTCCTCGAGCAGGTTCGGCCCCTGGGCGCGAGGGTCGGGCAGTATGATAGAGCCTACCACCTTGACCGTGATCCTCGAAATGGCCGAGTCCTGGGTGTTGCTGGTGCTGCACTCCTTGACCCAGGTCGACGCCGTGGACATGTTGCTCTTCTGCATCATCAGGCGGAGCCGATTGGGCACATCCGCTAGGTTCTTGACCGAGTCCTGAGCCGCGCCCTGCTTCTCGAGCCAGACGTTGAAATCGCTCAGAAGCGCGGCAAAACTCTGCAACTCTGGAGGGTCGAGACCGTGCGTCCCAGCCTTGCCCTCCGTCTTCTTCTGGTACTCCGCGTACGTGCCTTTGAGGACCGCCACTATCTCCGCGTCGCTGGGCCCGTACACCGTGAGGCCCGCTCCGAACTCCAACGTGCGGGCTCTGGACTAGCTGCCGGCGGAGTCTGGCGTTGGCGTGTGACTCCTCTCCCTTGCCCTCTCCCTTGGCCGACTTGGCCTTGGCTCCCTCGCTGGGCTGTCCTTCCTCTGTTGCTCGTTTGCCCCGTGTGCTGGCCATGAGCCAGTTTGGCATCCTCTTGACGATAGAATAAGATGCTCTCCTCAAGCCCAGGAACTCGATCTCAAGAACGTGAGTGTGAAGATGCTGCTGGAGGTGATCAGCCAAGATATGTCTACGGAGGTCGCCATTGTCGCTCGCTGTGTAGTCGCAGACAGGACATTCGAAAGTTCATGGTAGTAATACTTTACCATCTGTGCGGCCCTGATCGCATATACACCTACCCTTTAATAAACTCTGATGGGCGTGCCGCTTCGCGTAACCGATCGACGAGAATTCGAACCACATATAACACACTGACCGGATACACAACACATTCTACCGAGGAGCTGCTTTCCGTGGGTCCCTCCTTTTCTCATCAGGTAGTGCGCCGCCAACTGCTTTTGGCTGAACAAAACTCTCGTTGCATTGCTCGCCATCGTCTCCTAGTGCTGTGCATCTGTAGGGCCCCCATCTCTCCACCATCTCCTGTGCGTGCTCGTGCATGGTGAGGTTTAAGAAATAGTTGTATGAACTCCTCCCTGCCCTCGATCAGAATATTTCCCAATCCATATATCTCCAGAAGCCTCGCGCCGTCATCGAAAAGCTCGATCGCTCGGATATGCTCGCAAAACTGTACACACCATGGACTCGCCGTTCTTTCGTTGCTCAGGTATTTCTGAATTTCGTTGCTGTTATCGTCCCGAGAGCACCCGGAAACAACTGCAAGAAACTGAGCACACCGTGGGGGTTCTCGCAGACAAGTCTGAAGCCATCTGAGTCTCCTGACGCGCATTTCGGCTTGAGGGGCGGCCAGGCGCACTTTTGCCATCACCTGTAGGTTGGTGAGGGTCCTCACCGAGCCGTCTTCTCGCCATAGAGCCGTTCCTCTCAGCAAGATCCTCGCACGCATGGCAAGAAACGAAAGTACGGACTGCCAACCTTGGGCTCGCATGGGCCCATTGCGTGCACACAAAACTTCGGCTCCACTGTAGCATGCATTGGCGACGTAGCCCTTCAGCAGGTTGATCTTTCAGCTGAGCGGGGAGCCACTCGTCCAAAAACGAAAGAGCAGGTACCAGGCCGTGCGCCCAGCCTGCAAGCGAAATTCAATTTCACAAAGTGCGAAACGCGAATGAATATGCGGCCCCAGGTGCCTGGCACACGTGGCCGTGCGTCCGTCGAGGCACTGTCCTTTAACAAGCCTGGCCTCCAGGTGCGCAGCACTGTGACCGCAAAGAAAAACAGGTTCTCCTGCTTAGCGACATTCTGAGCCATCCTGATCTCACTCATTCTCTCCGTGATAATTCCATTATGGTGCCTACCCGCTTCGAGGATGGTCGCCATGGTGTTGGTCGGGACGTCGAAAGTGTCAGCAGCGTCGTCCACATAGAGTGTGAAAGCTGCCTGTATCCACTTGTTGTTCCACGGGCATTTGAAACTGTTGTGCCTGTAGTTGTCCACTGTGATAGACCCCGTTCCCACCTGTCGCGAGTAGGCCCCTTCAAATAGTCGTACCATGGTTGGATCTCCTGGTAGACATC